CCACACACACACTGTGTATAGGGAGCCCAGCACACACACACTGTGTATATGGAGCTCTGCACACACACTGTGTATATGGAGCCCCGCGCACACACACTGTGTATATGGAGCCCCGCACACACACTGTGTATATGGAGCCCCGCGCACACACACTGTGTATATGGAGCCCCGCGCACACACACTGTGTATATGGAGCCCCGCGCACACACACTGTGTATATGGAGCCCAGCACACACACACTGTGTATATGGAGCCCAGCACACACACACTGTGTATATGGAGCCCAGCACACACACACTGTGTATATGGAGCCCTGTCCATGATTTAAAGGTGCAGGCTCCGGCTCGGCCCCTCCCCCCGGTACCTGTGTCTTGGTTGTCAGTTGGATCACTGCTTTCCGGAAGTTCAGCTTGGTGTCCGTGTTTCCCATGCCGGTACTGGACCGAGCTCAAGGCTCCGGCTGCCCTCGGCAACGATCGTCCCGTTCCGACCCGGATCGAATCCGCCTACAACAGCTGGAAAACCGGATCCGTCAATCACCCAGGGCGGCCCCGCCTTGCCAGCGTCACCGGACACGCCCATCAAACGAGACCCCGCCCCTCCTGCGACCAACTCCTTCTCCAGGAGACTACTCATCCGACGTGGCCCCGCCCACTCAGGGAAGGCCCCGCCCAGGATCAACAAACCACGCCCACCACCCAGTCAATGCATGTATGTATTCTTCTGTCAGGGATCATACATGTGCAGGGTAAGTCAATGTATATAAGAACAATATAATGCGCACACACAGATAAAGCTGGCATCTGGTTAATTTTAGGGTTAAACTCAAACAGTAGGGACCCTCAGCCTCTTTGAGAACTACAACTCCCATGATGCCTTTCCATTCCGCAGGATTGCCAAGCATCATGGGACATGTAGTTCTGTCACAGCTGGGGCTGTGCTGGCTGGCTGGCTCTCCTCGGGTTAAATCCTGCTGATGTGGGTGGGTGGGAGGTGTGAGCTGCAGCCAATGGGAGCGCCGCTCGCGGGATTCTGCTGGGATGAGGGGGGCGGAGCCTGGCCGGTCCAAGCCCAGGGATGCACCGGGATGCTAGGAGGACATTGCTGGAGGGACCGGGTCTGGCACAGGGAGCTGCCATAACGGAGCCCACCGAGGGACAGCTGGGAGCATAGCCGGCCAGGTATGGGCCAGCAGGGGCACTGCTACAAAGAGAGAGCCCAGACACAGGGGCCATAGCCAGGGACTGCAACACAACAATAGGCCTAATAATAACAATAATAATAAGGACCTACCTAGTGTCACAGGGGGTAGTCACCAGGGGCAATTGGGGATAATACATTTAGGGCTGTCATGGAAAGCACATTAAAACATCAGGATATTACAAGAGAGATACATTCAGGGTACAAGAACAGAGGGGAGAAAAAACATGATAGTAAATATGAGATAGGTATCCCATGTGATTAGGTGAGAGGCAGATTGATACCACTTTATATTATTATTTTATTATTTATATAGCGCCATCAGATTCCGTAGCGCTGTACAATGGGTGGACTAACAGACATGTAATTGTAACCAGACAATTGGACGTACAGGGACAGAGAGGTGGAGGGCCCTGTTCAATTAGCTTACACTCTAAATATACTGTATAGAGTAAAAAAAATTTAAAAAAGAGACGCATGCATATAATAATATCCAAATGTTGTTTAAATGTCTGGCAATGAGAAAGAAGGCAGGGAAATGTCAGATTCGATGTGAAGGGGACTTCTATTAATATGATCAAACTAAAAGAAGTAAGACAAATATAAAGGCCAAGTATCTGGTTTATATGGGAATATGGAGTACAGGCATTCAATAATAGTACATGCTAGCATTCTAGTGGAAGAATGACATATTGGTAATATTGATACATTCTAGCTGCGATGGACAGTGACGTGTTTAGAGGACTTTCTGCCAAGCAGTTCCAGAGATTTGGAAGCTGCTGACAGTGATAGCAAGGAAAGGAATTAATGTAATTATACTAATAAAATAACCTGTGAGAATAGTGAGACAGCGTAGGTTTTACAAAGGGTCAGTGACCGTAGACTATATAGGAAACAATCAATGAAAGTAAGTCAATATGTGTGAGTTCTGGGGACAGTGAATACTACTTGCATCTATGTGAACCCTTTAGAAATGACGGTATTTATGTATACATTTGTCTTAAAATCCGGTTTGATGATCATGTAAGTTACAGTAATCAACAAACGCATTCTGTTTTAACTAATAACACACACATTATTGCATTGTTCTTTTACTTTGTGAATATATCATTCAAATATTTACAGCATAGGTTGGAAAAGTATGTGAAAATCTAGCCTAGTGACTTCATCAAAAGCTAATTAGGTGCTGGAAATTGACAAACCTGGTGCCCAATTAATGAAACAAGATTGGAGGTATGGGTCAGAGCTACTTTGACTTATGAAAACATGGAAACATTTTGTGTTTGTTATTCACAAAAAGCATCTGTTGATGTGAACCATCCTTGTTAAAAAGAGCTCTCAGAAGACCTGCAATCAAGAATTGTTGTGTTGCATAAAGCTGAGATGAGGTTACAAGTTTACCTCAAAGAGCTTCATTGTTCATCTGTCCACTGTTAAACAAATTGTGTATAAATGGAGACAATCTAGGGCTATGGCTACTCAACCTACAATTGGCCTTCCAGCCAAGATAACTCAAAGGGGGACACTACAAAATTCTCAATGAGGTAAAAAGAAACCTAGAGTGACCGCTAAAGACTTGAAGAAATGATTGTAACATATCTGTTTGAGTCTACTATACAGAAAACATTGAAGAGTCATGAATTTCCAAGTTTATCAAGATATCCTACAGGAGAATATCAGGGTGGCTGTACACCAGCTGAAGCTCAGTAGAAGTTGGGTGATCCTAAAAATCAAAGTAAATCCACTACAGAATGGCTTCAAAGAAAGAAAATTGGAGTGGGCCAGTCAGAACCCAGACCGTAACCCCATAGAGATGCTGAGGAATGACCTCAAGAGAGCTGTTCACAGCAGGGATCCTAAGAATATGCCTGAGATGAAGCAGTTCTGTAAGGAAGAGTCGTCTAAAATATCCTGAACGTTGCGTGAGTCTAATCCACATCTACCGAAAACGATCGGTTGAGGTTATTGCTGCCAAAAGAAGATCAACTAGCTATTAAATCCAAGTGTTTACTTACTGTTTCAACTGCACTGTGACTGTTTAATGAGATGTGTTCAATAAAGACATGAAATATTACAACTGTTTGTGTGTTGTAAGGTTAAGCACATTGTGCTTGTCTATACTTGTACCGATGATGAAGATGAGATGACATTTAAGACCAATTCATGCAGAAAACCAACTAATTCCAAAGGGTTCACATATTTGTTCTTGCCACTGTAGTAGGTGGAGGTATCTACAAAATATCTGTATTTCAAAGTAAAATGTACTAGACTGCCAAAAATATACAATCTGTGTATTTATATATTTAAATTTTGTATTGGAGTAAACTCATAGCTCATCACTCCCCAAAGAGGGTCATTTCGTTTCCTTGACTGTACGTGAAACATCACCGACATTGGGCCAGATGCTGGGAGCAGGGAGGATGGAGGAGTTTCATAGCGAGGAGGACGAGCCTTGGTATGATCAACAGGACCTTGAGCAAGGTGAGGAACAAATTGAGACCTTCACTCCCTTTGCCTCATTCAGCCCAAATATACACTGCTAGTTAGACAGGCCTAAATGTTACTCTCCACTGCAAGCTTAGAAGGTTTACTTGCAAATGGTTAGCGGCCGAGTGGAAATCTTGAGCCTAAAGTTTATATAAAATATTCCAAAATTGTATTATACTATATTGTTGAGTAAGAATTATATGGATTATTTATGTTAAAAGAGAGGATAAACTGTAAACCATTTGGATTATTAATGACAATAGCAACGGCCTTTTGGCGTAAAACCCTTATCAAGGAATAACATAATTCTAACTCTCTCTTGAAAGTAACAACAAATTTATTAATTCGGTTATTAACTGTCTTTTTTTTTTTTCTCCAGTCTGGCTGCTTTTGATTAAAATTTACAATTCCATTTTACAAGGCATACTATTTCATGTCCTACTCTTTTAGACAGGCCTTAAAAGTTTCTGGTCACTGCAAGCCTGGAGCTCTATGGCATACTTGCCAGGACTAAATTATGACTCTCTGAAGGCTATTGGCGAGTGGAAATTATGAGCCCTGTCTTCTTATTGCCTTATTGGCAATTCCCAGTTTAGTGAAAAACTTTGTGTGTTATTGTGATGGTGTAAATTATATAGAACAGTTGAACAGAATTGTGTAAGAAATATATTCGTATGCTCCTGTGTCCTGGCTATTAAAGGGACACTATAGTCACCAGAACAACTACAACTCATTGTGGCCACTTCTCAAATGGCAACTGGAGGTGCTTTCTGGGGCTGTACTGCACAATGAGCAGCACTGCTGTTCAGTGTCTCCACGCTCTGCATGCAGACACCGAACTTTCCTCTTAGAGATGCATGGATTTTAATGCATCTCTATTGGGAGATGCTGATTGGCCTTGCTGGCATTTGGCCACACCCCGCCTTCATGGTGATCTCAGCCAATCCAATGCTTTCCCTATGTGGAAAATCATTCTGATTGTCAGCCAAAGAGGCGGAGCCGTAGCCACCCGAGCCGCACGGCGCTGGAAAAATGGTAAGTGTTAACCCTTTTTTAAAGGGGTGAAGTGGGGAGTACCTAAATGGTTGTTTCAACAATATAGGGTCAGGAATACATGTTTGTTCCTGACCCTATAGTGTTTCTTTAACCCCTTAAGGACCAAACTTATGAAATAAAAGGGAATCATGACATGTCACACATGTCATGTGTCCTTAAGGGTTTAATAATAAAGATTATCTAAAACATAAATTACATGTGGTGATGGTTAAGATAGTTTTTACCATAATACAATTCTTCTGGTGTTTTCTTTGCATTCTCTTACTGTATTATTGTCTGACTTCTTAAGATGCTGGTTGCCTGCCAACATTTTTGGCTCCCTCTCGCTATCTTATTACCTCCTCCAATTGTGCCCAGACAATGCACGCACTCACATGTAGATGCCAGATGCCAGTTTAGAGCTCGGTTCATTTAATGGTCAGTCAGTACTCTGAGGCTGAGTGCTATTAATATCTTCACTCCCATCATGCCAAGGACTCATTCTTATCGTCACAAAATACTGCAGTGTTCCATTTCCGCTAATGCTATATGTAGACAATGGGTGCTTCCCAACTTTTAAAATGGTCTTATGTGTAATATCCTTTTTCAATATTCATACTGAAACAATTGAGGAGTGATGCAGAACTATATTTGAATTTTTATTTTAAATTAGGAACAATTTCATATGGATGGTATAGTGCAAGAATATGAAGTGTATGTAAGAGGTTCATGTCACATTTGTTTATTAAAGGGAAACTGTCACTCTGTAAATTCCAATATTGAATAAAATATTGAAATTCACATATTTTGTGTTAACCTTTTTTACGTGATACTACATTATCTTTCAAATGTATATTGAAGATTTAGCAAGTGACCTTAACAAAGTTAAAGGGACACGATGGTCACCAAAACAACTTTCGCTTAAAGAAGCAGTTTTAATGTATAGATCATGATTTTAAAGTCTCATTGCTCAAATCACTGCTATTTAGGAGTTAAATCTCTTTTGTTTCTGTTCATGTAGCCCCTGCCACACCTCCCACAGCCTGGTTTCATTTTCATTTAGATGATACTTCCTTTAAAACTTTTTTAATCCTGCTCTGTAAATTGAACTTTAATCACGCACAGGAGGCTCCTGCAGGTTCCAGCAAGCTATTCACATAGCAGGGGATAAGAAAATCTTAATTAAACAGAATTTGCAATAAAGGAAATATAAGATGACTCTTTACAGGAAGTGTTTGGGAGAGCTGTGTACGTCACATGCAGGGAGGTGTTACTATGGCTACATAAACAAAGTGATTTAATTCCTAAATGTTGGAAAATTCAGCAGTGAGACTGCAGGGGCATGATCAATACACCAAAATTGCTTCATTATGCTAAAGTTGTTTGGGTGACTATAGTGTTCCTTTATGTCCAAGCACAGCCAGGACACGTATTACTAATGAGGAGTAAGATAAACACTATGGGTTCGGCTACTTTGAATGCACGTTGAAATCTCACTTGAATACTATAAATGAATAATACTGTAGGAGTAATCCTGGTGAATTCTTCTAAAAGTGTAGTAGAAGCCATGGAAATCAATGCACGGTCCTTGCTGAATGCTCCACTTTATAATCTCTGCTCCGGAATTCTCATTATACATAATCCCCATAGTTTCGTGTATCCTCTTCTCTGTATGCTTTCTCTATGGCGGCTGCAAGGTGCAAGAGACAGAGCTTACAGGGTTATACACCTACTATGACCACGTCTGCTTATAGAAGTGGTCATATTGGTAGGATTCTGTATATGTTTCTTTTTGAAACACAGCACATTTAGAGAAATATATTGTCATGTGTGCTGGGGGTTTGTTGCATCTGCGGCACATATGACCCTGCACTGCCAAATGTCAGTTCTGTACTTAAAATACATCTTACCGTCAGAGCGCTGGCAACAAATATAATTCGATTGCCCTCCTGTCTCCCTATATCCTCCGTCAGAAAAAAAACAACAAACAAACAAAAAATCTTCTCGCCATCTCCTACCTTTACTGGCTCTTAGTGTGCGAATGCGCACTGAGGTGGCTAAACAGTCAAATCAAAGGCTGTGAAGCCTGTGATTGGACCTCGCGATCGCTGCCCTGACATCAGACAGGGAGTGGAAATTTGTGTCGGGATCTTCGTCCAATGCAGGACTTCAGTTAAGTTATTGCTTCATTTGATTTATTTCAGTATAAAAGGGTAAGCGTAATCCTTAGATGGAGATTAGATGGAGGCACTCCGTTACAGAAAAAAATAGGTGTTGATGTTTTACATTTAATTTTATATCTCATGCCTCACAAATGCAGGTTTGGTAAATTTAATGGATAAATGAACATAATATTAAATATCCTAGAAAGTGACAGTTTCCCTTTAAGAATTGCATCTGAGGTATTATATCTATGCAATTGGAAACGTAGTATGTGTGACATAACATTTTGCAAATAAAATTCACGAACAGGAAATTACAAAACCCTTCTATGAATATCTTACCAGTAGATCTTGCAGCCTAGCTCTGTCATGTCACACGGCAACGTTTGACATCAGGGATGTCACAGAGAAAGCTTTGTGTCCGTACAAGTGACTCAGAAGCTCTGGAAAATGTATTCAGTATGTGTATGTATCTCCTGTTTCTCTAGTGCCAGTCACAGAGTGAATAGAAGGACACCCACATTAACTGCAAAATAAATAATAAAGAATCACTATTTTGGTTTCAAAATCACTTTAGTAGAGCACAGAACCACTTACAGGTCCTTGACATCACTGTATTACAATTGTGTAGATGACATATCAACCCTCGAACAATCCGTCTCATTTTTGTTAAGTTAAGGTAGACAAGAATTTTTACAAGATGTAACAGGCTATTTTATATAGTAATGCGTGGTAGTTAACAGGTTAATCAGAACATTTGTTAAGTTCAGTAGGAGAGTGAGGCTAACACCGTACTAGGTAAGATGGAAGGTAGGTTATAAGATTTGCATGTTAGATGTACAGTGGTAGAGTAATATAATGTGCTTAGTGTAGGGAGGGAAGCAGGATTAACCTGTGGCGAGTTGGCCTCCGCCTGCGTAGAAGATGCGTTGGGGGCTGTGCACCAGATAGCCTTTGGCCTAGATGGGAAAACCTGGTGATTTTCGTGTATTGTCAAGATTGTGCCCGAGGGTGTCCCATGCCCTCTCAGGCTGCGGCCTCTCTGGCATCCCCCTTTACTCCAGTTCTCTTGCAACTGAACCTGTGCTGCAGTATGCCGAGCTTCAATCCGTGCCCAGAAGCTATTAAACAGTTTGTTTAAGTGTGTGCTTAGATACTCTGTTGCGCTGTAGTGGCTTTCCAGAGGCACATGGATCCCATGGGTTGCACGTCCACCATTTTGGAGTGGTCCACGGCGGGCAGGATCTGTACACGATCAGGGCTAGTGCCAGTGTTTGCGGTCAACTTGGGTAGGTGTAACTGAGCGGTGGGGACTGGGATAACCCCCACCGGTCCAGAGGGGGGGTTGCTGTGTACCATGGATGCTGCTTGCGTTAAAGGGCTGGGAGAGCAGCCGCCTCTCCCCTGTTCTGCACAGTGTAGGCCTCAAGCCTCAGATCAGGCGATCCCACGGTTGGTATGGTCGTGTGAGGCATAGGCGTGCGCAGTCTGTTGCATTAGGGTGTGCACCCTAAAGCACAAACACGCCTCGTGTATATGTATGTGTGTGTGTGTGTATGTATGTATGTATGTATATATATATATATATATATACATACACTGCTGTGTGTGTGTGTAAGGGTGCTGTTAGTGTGATGTGTGGTATGTGGGTGAGGGTGTTTGTGTGTGTGTGTTTGTGAGGGTGCTGTTAGTGTGCTGTGTGTGAGGATGCTGGTAGTGTGTGTGTGTGTGTGTGTGTGTGTGTTTGTTAGGGTTCTGTTACTGTGCTGTGTGTGGGTGTCGTGTGTGTGTGAGGGTGCTGTATGTGTGTGTGTGTGCTGTATGTTTGGAGGGATTGCGGGGGTGGAGGTGGGAGCAGATTAGTAAATATTCCACCTCCCTTCTTACCTTATGTAGGGAGGGAGGATCCTTGCTGCCATGTGCCATCCCTTATGGTCCAGTGGAGAGTGAACTCTAGCCTGTGGGGCTAGAGTTCACTCTCGCAAGATCTGAGCGTTGCCGCGCTAATGCTCCGACCTTGCGAGAGGAACTCGGCGGAGCTGCTGGCTAGAGCTCCCCGGGTCCTCTCCTGCCTCCCTTCATGCTGCTGTGGACCGGTGAGGTAGATCTTTGATCTCCCCACCGGCCTATGGAGGCTTAGAGCAGAGCCGGCACTCAGATAGCGCCGGCTCTGCATGAGCCGACAGGGGAGATCATGAGATCTCCCCTGTTGTCTCAATCCATAGGCGTGCCGCAGGGATTAGGGTGTGCCCAGGCACACCCTGTGCGCACACCTATGGTGTGAGGCATCCTCTGATTCATCGATGGCTGCAAAGCAAGGCGCTGTAGATTGGGGACTGGGATGGAGTGATTTTCCCGTGAATAAGGGCGATTAACTGATTCAGGCTCGGGAGCTCACACAAGGTGCGTCCGCTTGGCTCCACAGTCAGGCTCCGCCCTGACATCACTGTTTTAAATCTCCTAACACCACCCAAGCACAAGATGAGGCTACTGTGTTAAAGGGAATATATATATATATAAAGGGATCATAGTCCATGCTTTGGTTTGAAAAAAAACTATATACAGGTGATGCATGGCTGTAATTTTAAGTACTTGAACTGTGGGGATCATGTTTGATCTCGCCAAATCTTGGATTTAAAAAAAGGAGTATGTGTAAACTGTAATTTGGATATCTGCTTTTTACTGGAAGCTGCACAGGCTGCAATAAGCGTACTTTACAAAGGACTATAAATATAATAACCTACTTCTGGCTTTTCTTGCATTTTTGTGATTATAATTTAAATGCATTACAGATTTTGGTCTAAAACTATTGGTTTGGCTTTCAACTCCCATTTAAAGCCTTGTTGTGGTCATAAACTTTGGTGTTGATGAGCAAGACTTTATGGGATAGGCCAGAAGTCATAGAAACATAGAATGTGACGGCAGATAAGAACCATTCGGCCCATCTAGTCTAGTTTTCTAAATACTTTCATTAGTCCCTGGCCTTATCTTATAGTTAGGATAGCCTTATGCCTATCCCACGAATGCTTAAATTCCTTTACTGTGTTAACCTCCTACCACTTTAGCTGGAAGGCTATTCCATGCATCCACTACCCTCTCAGTAAAGTAATACTTCCTGATATTATTTTTAAACCTTTGCACCTCTGTCCTCTTGTTGTGGTAGTTTTTCTTCTTTTAAATATAGTCTCCTCCTTTACTGTGTTGATTCCCTTTATGTATTTAAATGTTTCTATCATATCCCCCCGGTCTCTCCTCCAGCTATACAAATTAAGATCCTTTAACCTTTCCTCGTAAGTTTTTTTTTATTTTTTTTTTTATCCTGCAATCCATGAACCAGTTTAGTAGCCCTTCTCTGAACTCTCTCCAAAGTATCAATATCCTTCTGGAGATATGGTCTCCAGTACTGCATACAATACTCCAAGTGAGGTCTCACCAGTGTTCTTTACAATGGCATGAGCACTTCCCTCTTTCTACTGCTAATACCTCTCGCTATACAACCAAGTATTCTGCTAGCATTTCCTGCTGCTCTATTACATTGTCTGCCTACCTTTAAGTCATCAGAAATAATCATCCTTAAATCCCTTTCCTCAGATGTTGAGGTTAGGACTCTAACAAATATTCTGTACTCTGCCCTTGGGTTTTTAGGTCCAAGATGCATTATCTTGCACTTATAGAAACATAGAATGTGATGGCAGATAAGAACCATTCGACCCATCTAGTCTGCCCAATTTTCTAAATACTTACATTAGTCCCTGGCCTTATCTTATAGTTAGGATAGCCTTATGCCTATCCCACGCATGCTTAACTTAAACTCCTTTATGTGTATCCACATTAAATGTCAGCTGCCACAACTAAGTCCCACAGTAAGCTATAACAATTACCAGATTTTACTAATTACATGACGTAAAGTCATGATTTTATAAAGGACACGGAGGCGAGTATTAGGCTTTCCTCTTTCTTTATTCCTCAGCAGCAAAGAAAGCTAAGGTGTTTATTTGTAGAAAAAAAGGAAAAAGAAACATGTATAACTACCCTCACAGGGTTAACATTACATCATTATCTCCTATCCAATAGGAGCAGTCCTTCTCTGATATCCTTTCCTGTAACCTCCTCCTCTTCCTCTTTCTTGATGTTGCCGAAGTTAAAGTTCGTGTTTGTACCAAGTAACTATCCACTCGGTCGAACCTAACCTAAACAGAAAAAACAGTTGAACATTGAACTTGACCGTGAACTCCTCCATGGGGAATAAACGTTGGAGACCTCCAGAACTGATCCCCTTGAACTCGAACTCGTCGTCCATCCTAGGAGTTGTAGGATTGTTCACGCTGTAAAAACAAAGAAAATAGTGGTAAAGCGTGTCCTTGCCAACTATTGTCGTTTTACTCTTATGTATCAAACTTGAGCTGTTTATGAAACCGTTATGTTTAACCAAATCTGTCATAGTCAACCACGTTATGTATTACCAAGAACCACTTACGTGAAGAAGGAAAAAAGTGAACTCTTTCTACCAAAATACTTAGTACGTACCTGGGTTGGGATACACAACTTGTGTATCTGTTCCGGGTGGGCTAATACTCGCCTCCGTGTCCTTTATAAAATCATGACTTTACGTCATGTAATTAGTAAAATCTGGTAATTTTATTAAAGGACACGGAGGCTCTTATTAGGCTAGTTCAAAGCTGTGAAATAACCTGGCTCGACACGTGCTCTGTTTGCCGAAAGTAATATTCTTTAAACGTCGATTCCCTGGACCAGTCTGCCGTTCTCATGAGGTCTTCTAATCTACAACCTAGCGTGAACGCTTTGGATGCCATGGCTCCTCTAGTAGAGTGTGCGCCATATACGGAGGTATCTATGTGAGCTAACGTCATTATCCATTTCACCCAGCGGGCGAGGGTTACCGTGGAGACAGGTTGATGTGGTTGTCTGATGGCCAGAAACAATTCCGGATGTGTTGATTTCCTGAATTCCGAGGTTCGTTTCTCATATTCTCGTAGGCAGTGTACTGGACAGAGCTTCTCGTTGTGTGGGAACGAAGGGTATGAGACTGATGTAATTGACGATTTTGTACGCCTGGAGATGTTGAACGAGACTCCTGTGGGAGTAAAGGAGCGTGCATCAACGTCCAGTGCTCTAACGTCTGACACCCTCTTGCAAGATAGCAGGCAGAGGAGCATGGTGAGCTTCGCTGACAGTTGTTTGAGCGTAAGTGCCTCGTTTTGAGGCCAGGACTCTAACAGCGTCAGCACTGAGTTGACGTCCCACAATGACGAGTATCGGGGTTGTGGTGGGCGGGCAAAACGAATTCCCCTCAGGAGACTGCATACCAGAAGTTGCTGACCCATCGGGGTTCCCTCTATACCTTGGTGCCCTGCCGAGATTGCTGATCTATAGACGTTGATGGTCCGGTAGGCCAATCCTTGATTATGTAGGTTGGTGAGGAACCTCAACAGATAACTTACAGGAGCACGTACGGGATCCATTTGTTGTTCCATGCACCAACTAGCCCATCCGTTCCAGGCATAGAGGTAGGAGCGTCTAGTTCCAGGTGCCCAGGCTCCCGCCAGTAGTTCGACAGTGTCCTGTGGAACGTCCGGTATGCTCCAGGGTCCCCTGAAAGGAGCCACGCTAAGAATTTGAGACGCCCCTGGGTCATGAGGGGATGTGGGTTGCCCTCTGGGTCTGATAAAAGGAACCAGGGGTCCGGAAGTCGTCTCGGGAAGTCCATGGACATTTCCATTAGGGTCGGGAACCACGGTTGGGTTGTCCAAAACGGAGTTATGAGGACCAGGGTCGCTTGAGTACGTCTCAGATGTACTATCGTGCGAGCTATGAGGGAGAACGGAGGGAAGGCATATAATCGGCTGTTCGGCCAGTGTTGGAGAAAAGCGTCCGCTGCTAGTGCATCTGGGTCTGGTCTCCAACTGAAGAACGTTGGCAGTTGTGAGTTCAGCCGGGATGCGAACAGATCGATTTGCATCGGGCCCCAGAGCGCTTGAAGCTGTAAGAACACCTCGCGGTCCAGCCGCCAGTCGCTGGCGTCTTGTATGTGTCTGGAATGCCAATCCGCTACCACGTTGGACATACCCGGGATGTATTCCGCTTGGACCGAGATGTTGTGTTCCAGGCAGTGTTGCCAGAACTCCTTGGCCAGGTCCGCCAGTATCTTCGATCTCGTGCCACCGAGGTGGTTGATGTAGCGGACTGCGGAAATGTTGTCCATGCGTAGGACGATGGAGCAATTGGTTATGCCCCCGAGGAGGCTCTTCAGTGCGAAAGATCCCGCCATGAGTTCCAAACCGTTGATGTGTAATTTTTTCTCTGCGCACGACCAGGTTCCTCCGGTGGAGGTAGGCCCGCAGCGCGCTCCCCAACCGTGCGTGCTCGCATCGGACTCTACGATGAAGTCCGGGGCAGACCCGAATATTGCTCTGCCGTTCCACGCCTCCATGTGTAGCAGCCACCATGTGAGTTCCTGTTTGGCTTCGTAGTCGAGTGGTACAGAGTCGGAGTACGCATGCCCTGAGCGTAATTGTGTGGCCTTTAGACGCTGTAGGGCCCTGTAGTGTAGTGGCCCCGGGAATATTGCCTGAATGGAGGCTGAGAGGAGTCCGATTACTCTGGCTAGTTGCCGGAGTGTCAGTACCGGCCTCTTGAGTGTTCTGCGGATCTCCTTTTTGATGAGTTTTACTTTGTCCGTTGGTAAGCTGAGCGTACCGGTAGTCGCATCTATGTGAAAACCCAAGAATTCCATGTTCTGGGACGGGGTAAGCACCGATTTCTCCCAGTTGATGAGAAATCCTAGATTCTGTAGCAGTGTCACTGCCCATGTCAGGTGCTGTTGTAATTGACGGGCTTCGTGCGCCATGATCAGCATATCGTCCAGATAAATGATCATCCGGACGCCTCTGCTGCGTAGAAAGGCGACCACAGGCTTCAGCAGCTTGGTGAAGCACCAAGGGGCCAATGAGAGACCAAAGGGAAGGCAGCGGAATCGCCACATTGTCGCTTCCCATTGGAATTGGAGCAGGTGGTGGCACTCTTCCGCAATGGGGATTGTAAGATATGCATCTTGGAGGTCCAGCTTCACCATCCAGTCCCCTAACCTGAGCAGGTCTCGCAGGCAGTGGATACCCTCCATTTTGAAATGGTGGTACCGCACAAATGCGTTTAGTGGCCGCAAGTTGATGACTGGGCGCACCCCGCCGCCCTTCTTGGGTACCAGAAACAGATTGCTCATGAACCCAGGGGATGGTGAAGGGACCTGGTATATGGCGCCCTTCGCTTGGAGGGTGCGAATCTCCTCGCTCACCAATCCCTTGTCTTGCGTGGAGAAAACTATGCGGTGTGGTCTGTGTGTTTGGACCGGGGTTCGCACAAACTCTATGTGGTAACCCCTGATGGTGTTGAGGACCCATACGTCCGCAGTCAGCTGTTGCCAGGACTCTACAAAGTGTAACAGTCTGCCCCCCACAGTCGGTACCATAAGGTCGGCGGCTGTACGAGTTGCCTCTGGGTCCTCGAGGTTGCCATGGTCTGGCCCTGACCGGGAAGAAGGGTGAGGGCGTACGGCTCTCTGGCGGCTGGAATCTAGCCGTGGCGGGACCTCTGTATCCCCGGTAGGAACCGCGGGAAGAACGGCCGGGCAGACGGCCCCGGTGTCTGCCGGCCCCACCAAAAACTCTGGGAGAGAACACTCTTTTTATATTTGTCTGTGCCTTGTCTAGGGCCGTAAAGGTGCTCACATACATTCCCAATTCTTTGACAAAGTTGTCACCGAACAGGAGACCCTTGGCTTGCGGTCCCGGTTCGGTGAGAGCCATGTTAATTAGCTTGGGCTCGATTTTCATTAAAATAGTTTTGCGCCTTTCTGTGGCCAGTGCAGCGTTAGCGTTGCCGATGAGGCAGATCGACCGTTGGGCCCAGCCTCTAATGGCTAGTAAATCAAGAGGCGTTCCCTCATTTAAGGCCGCTTCGACCAATTCAAAAATCTTGGCACTAGGGCCCAATGTATCCAGCACTTTATCTTGGCAGTGGCGTAGGGAGTAATCAAGTCCCTTCTTCGCCTTCCAGCCAGACTTACCCAAGAACTGTGCTATTTTGGGGTCGATATCAGGTGTAGCACAGGCCATGTCAGGCACAGTCGGGCGTGGGCATTCAGCCCGTAGTTTCTGCCTGGTGGCCTTATCCAAAGGTTTGCGGATTCTGGCCGCTATGTATCGTGCTACATGATCGGTTGGATACCACTCCGCCGATCTCGGGTTTTGTAAGGTGTCTGGGTCGAACAGAGGTTCGCCCTGAGGGTCCAGAATAGTGGTTTCATCCGCCGTGTCATGCACGGGGTTGGCTCGAGTGCGTGTCGGACTCTGGTCCGGGGAGGAAAACTCCCATTCCTCTGAGTCGGCTTGGTCCGACCCGTTCAAAACCTCCTCACTATCCGAATCAGTGTCGGAAGAATCTGACAGGGCTTTTGCCCTCTTCCATGTCCGCGCCGCTTTTGCCCGGCGGGTGGCTCGTTTTCGTGGGGGCCCCACGACCTCAGGTGCGACAGGACGTACCCTGTCCGTCAGTCTAGTTTTGGAGGCATGTGTTCCCACATTGTGGGTTTTACTCATGGCCTTACGGCCCTCTCTGCTTAAAGGTTCCCCCTCTGCGGCCCTGGCTTGAGTCATGCTGGGGTTAGACGCCTTAATGGCACTCGAAATAGAGTGTGACAAGTTATCCGACATAACCCCCATGGCGGTAAAGATAGCTTGGGTAACTGATTTTGACATGGTGGCGTCCAGGAGCGAGTGGAACTCCTCAGAGTCCAATTGCTCCAGAGGGGCCACCATGTCCCTATGCAGGGATATGGGTTCAGCCACGGAGGGCCCGTGCTGGGCCTTAGTATCACCTTTATCACTGGTGCCAGGGGCAGAAAAAGCCTCAGGGGTCTGCATCATGGGTTTAAAAGACAGGATTATGTATATGGCTACCTGATGTGTCAGTAATGAGCTACTAAAAACAGGCAAGAGACAAGGCAGCAGGACAACAAGCACAGAATGTACTGTTAGCTTACCGAGTGTTCCCTCAGGAATGGCTCCTGGGATCACTGGCAAGCTAACAGTACAGCAAACAAACCAATCAGCTCGCGCCCTGCAGTGGGCTGAACGAGCTGAGGGAGAAAAAAGAGCGGCAAAATTTTTTCTAGTGCCGCCCCTTTAAGATGTGCGCCAGTATGGGCCGCGCATGCGCGCGCGGCGCTCACGAACGAGAGGCCGCGGCGGGGGAACCCTCCGCCGGGAGAGAGAGCCGGTCCGGTCCTCGAGGGTTCCCTGCGCCGCGTGACCGATGAGGGGGGTAATAAACTACCCAGCGGCAAGTGTGGAGCCGGTATCCCCGCGGGGGGGCGGGGTACCGGCGGGACAATGTGGGAAAGGGGCCCCCCCACGGAGGGTTAGCTTGAAGGGGGGGTGTACACCAAACGCACAATGCGTTCTGCTGAGTTTAAGTCAGGTCACAAAAACAGGCATAATTTAAAATAAAGTCATACACACATATATAAGTACAAATGACAGTTAAGAGAAAAAACAAAGTGTTACTTAGCTGAGGCAGCAGCAAAGAAAGAGGAAGAGGAGGAGGTTACAGGAAAGGATATCAGAGAAGGACTGCTCCTATTGGATAGGAGATAATGATGTAATGTTAACCCTGTGAGGGTAGTTATACATGTTTCTTTTCCTTTTTTTCTACAAATAAACACCTTAGCTTTCTTTGCTGCTGAGGAATAAAGAAAGAGGAAAGCCTAATAAGAGCCTCCGTGTCCTTTAATAAAATTGGCATTGACTGAGCCACTTCCTGGTTTGGTGAGAGCCCACTGCCATTATTTTGATATATGTTTTCTCTGCACATGGTTTATAATGCAATACTTGTCTATTTAAGAAAAGTTGGTCAGCGCCATACTGAAGACTCCCCTCATTTATACAATACACAGACGTACAAAAAAAAAGGCTTTGTTTTTAAAGGGGCCTTTACACCATTTAAAGGGGCGGCCAGTAAAAATAAGATTTTGTATAATAGATTGCATTTTTTCTTATTAAAAACTGTATATGTAAGTAGGACGGAGCTAGTTCAAAAGCAGTCTGTGTTTCTCAGAACAATAAGGAACACATGATAAATGTGCTGTGTTCTTGTTTCTAACAGATCTGCACCTGGCAGCAGAACTGGGAAAGACGCTTTTAGAGCGAAATAAGGAATTGGAGGTTTCATTGCAGCAGATGTACCTTACCAATGAAGATCAGGTGCAGGAGATTGAGGTATTGTGACAGTAGAAATTTTATCTTCACGATCTTTTACTCTATAATGATTCCACATGATATATTCACGAAGAGGTTTTCAAATGTACATTTTATTATATTATTGCTCCTGTATTTTTAGCACACAAGGAGTTCCAATTGTTTCATATACATCTGTTCATTTTGTGTTTTTTTTTTTTTTCATTAACTGGGCTCAAAATTTTACTTGCTTATTTGATCCCTGGTGAGCTGGCCGGGAAAAAAAAACTATCCAAGTATCATAAGTTCTACAGCTTGCTGTAGTGTTTTATTTTTTATTTTTTTTTCCACTGGCTACCCTTCACATTGTAAATAGTCAAAAAGTTTTTGAACAGTTGACCTCATGTGGGGTCTGCCATAGCCGCACTCTGAGTCCACTACTAATGCTGTAGAACTGGAAGTTCCTAAGCATTATTTGATCGCAGTCAGCCAATGAGCTAAGCACAGCACCGCAGGGCTTAGCTCAGGAGAGCTAATGGAAGCTTAGGAGCTTAAATGTTTTATTACATTTTTCTCGTGCTGAAAGGCCATTTGACCAAAGCTCTAGCTTTAAACACCGAAACCACCTGCAAGGTGCTGGTAAGAGTAATAAGAAAGGATATCATTTGGGAATACTCAAATTAAACACATGTATTAGCACATATATACACACACAAACACACTGTGGCCTTTCACACAAAATATATCTCTCCTGACACATTTATGCATGCACTGAGACTTCATACAAATACATGACTGCATTCACACACAGACTTTTTATATAAATTCACACACAGACCTGCATCCACACACAGTTACACTCCACATATACACACACTAACATTCCACACACACACACACGTGTCACTGACATGGCACACACATACCCACTTTCACATACTGACTCTCAGTACAGATATACTCCTACTTTCACAGCACACGTACGCTCCATGCTAAAGACATGCCATGAATCAAAACAAATTGCTAAATAATGAAGTATTGCAGGTCCTTGTAATGCCTTTTTTTTTTTGGACTAACCGGAATTTGTATTTATTTAGCTTTCAGGAGTTCCTCACTTTATCGTTTTTTTTAAAGCATGCTTTAGACTTATTTATTTATTACTGGTATTTATAAAGTGCCAACATATTCTGCAGCGCTGTACAATTAGTGGAGAACGTACAATATACACGAGGTCAAGAGAAAAATACAAGAGGTCGAGAGAGCCCTGCCCGTAAGCTGATAACTAGTCATTGGAGCTCTTTTATACAAGGTGCTTAGCCAGATGGTCCATGAGCTTACAATCTAAAGGATGCAATGCGGATTTGAGACAAGAGGTAAAGGGAGAAATCTAATCACTGCAAATTTCCATTAGTCCAATAAAAAAGGTATTACAAGAATCGGCAATGCTTCAATATTATGCATCTAGATTAGTGGACTAATATAGCAGCTCTAATAATATGATTCAATACCAAATTATTGTTTCCTCATACTTTTTTTTAAATTATTATTTATTAATTTTTATTTGGTTTTGAATTAACATTTACAATCATTCAACAGTATTTGCAGAAAAATTTGCAGACATTGCAGTAAGATATGTAACATACAGGTATAAACTGATACGCTTTGTCAGTCGATTATCCCCTGACCGGTATTTTTCACATTATCACTGTACATAGGCGGTTAATTAGCTGATTCAATTAGTCATTCGGTACAGACAGGTAGTCCCGTGCAGTGTGAGACTCTCACACTTGTTTTTAGGTCTGGCAAATAGCTCAGGGCCTAAAATTGTAAGCCCTGCTATTAGAATATAAGAACTGATTTTAAAATAGTTAGTTCTGAAGTGTTCATTACATGTGTTTATTAAAATGTAAGACTTTGCACAGCAGCCAAATAAACAAACGTATCCCAAATATTTACACATTTTTTACTTTTCTCAGCTATTTTATATAAAGTCCATTTACATTCTAATATTACATATCCTTTAACACATAGATATTCAGGTCTAACTTATATATTTGTATCAATGATACAGCAATGATAACTTGTGAGTATGTCACGTTTACAGTGTGTCTGCAATTAAAGGCTATATGCTGGTTTGTGCCCTGGTTTTACAAAAATGGTTTCTTCCCTTCCTGTCTTTAAAGTACCTGAGCAAACAGCTGGAGATGCTACGCCAAGTAAATGAACAGCACGCCAAGGTCTATGAGCAGTTGGATACAATAGCAAGAGATTTGGAAGTGACTAACCTAAGGCTGGTACAGGAGAGCAAAGTGGCCCAGCACAAGATAACAAGGTTAGAGACAAGGGAGTGGAAGAAAGGGGAATAACTGGAGTAAATAAGGAGAGCGAAAGTGAGAAAGCTTGTTGGGGGATAAAACAAGAAGGTGGATAAACAAGTATTAGCGAAATGTAGAATTATAGAAATAACTGAAAATAACACGTGGGGATGTTGGTGAAAGCCAAATAATGAATATGTCTCTGTCTGTTAGTCTCACAGGTACTATAGATGGCTTGCAGAAACAGGTGGAGGATCTGCAGAAACAAGTGGAAGAACTGCGCAGTCAAGATCAGGTTCGAGTGAGGAGGGAAAAGAGAGAAAGGCGTCGCACTATCCACACCTTTCCCTGCATACGGGAGCTGTGCGCCAATCCCAGGTTAGTGTAGGGGTCTTTGGTGACAAATGAGGAAGCCATAGTTCAGATTCAATGTACACCGTTTCTGTACCAAGTCTGTAATAACATTCACTCAATATGGAGATATCAGAGACCTCAGACATGTTCTACTGATTGGCAAATTGTGAAATACTTAAAGCAGCTCCATCACCTTCTGGGGTATTTGCATATTTTGCAAAAAACCCTGATGGTGACATCACTGCTTGCTGTGCTATGGCCCACGTAGGCAACAGAGGTTAGATATACTAACTTGATGCTCTCCCCCATGGAGACCACCATCTTCTCTCTTCAGCTCCTTGGGCTTCATCAGGCATGTGCGAGAGGACAGTGCTAATGTCTATGGAGCATTCAATCCTCCAATCCTCCATAGATATCGTCTCGCAGTGAGCGAGACAATGCCTTATTTTCTCCAGCCGTCACTAAGTGACAAAGTTTGTCAAGTGGAGATAAAATACATAAGATAAAGTATCCCTACTTTGCGTTATGTATTTTAGGAGAAAAATATTGAAAAAATATTAAGGAGGAGAAACAGATTGAAGCAATGTAAGTTTAGAGTGACATTATGAAAATAATTTTTATTTTATTTTTTTCTATGACAGATGATGTTTATCTTTTTATACATCTTTTTTAACCCCTTAAGGACACAATTTCAGAAATAAAAGGGAATCATGATGGAATATTTCCGTCATGTGTCCTTAAGGGGATAAGTATAAGTTTGTGTACATAACTGCCATCCTCTTGTCCTGTGTACAGGAATGAAGATACACTCTACATGCATGGTTCTTGTTTGGACTTATCCCCTAAGCCATTACAGAGAGAAAACGAGCGTCTGCATAGTGCCGTGGCCTCACTTCGGGCTTTAGTAGCTGAAGAACGTCAGCGAAAAGAAAAGGCAGAACGGGAATATCAATCGGTGGTGCAGGAATATTCTGAGCTCGAACAAAGAGTTTGTGAGATGGAAAACTGCAGGTTACGTGTACAAGAACTGGAAGCAGAACTACAGGAACTACAGCAAATGAAGCAGGTAAAACTCAAGTTTGTGTATTTAAAAGGAAGAGATCCTTTTTTTTTTTCTATGATACTCCCAATATGCTTTCACATCATCTTCCCATAATGTTGTGTGTATGAGGCATCCCCCTTAGAATTATATCCATTAAGGGAAACTATAGTGCTAAGAAAACAAAGTTGTATTCCTGGCACTACAGTGACCTGTAATGCCCCCCTTCTTCCCGTGGCACTGGAAGGGTTAAAAACCCTTCTGTCACTTACCGCCGATGTCCTCGGTGCTGGGTCAGGATCCATCTCCACTCCTCTAATGTGCATGTGTGGCTAGCTTAGGACTACCCCATAGGAAAGCACTGCTCAATGGATTCCTATAAGGTTTTAGCTGATGATGGCTGTCCTCGTGCAGAGCATAAGGCTGTCCAGTGTCAGTTAGGAGACCAAAAGTCGCCTAACCACCCGGAAGTGCCTCTATAGGGTGTCTGGTAGTTAACCCTGCAAGGTAATTATTACAGTTTATCAATAACTGCAATAATTAGAATTGCAGGGTTAAAGGGACTCTCCAGTGCCAGGAAAACATGTTAGTTTTCCTGGCACTGCATGACCCTACAGTGGCCCTCTCCCTCCCACCCCCCATCCCAAGTTGCTGATGTGGTTAAAACCCCTTCAGTGACTTACCAGAGTCCAGCGCCGATGTCCTTCGGGGCTTGGTTCGGCTCCGCCTATTCTCCTCCCCCGCCAACGTCAGCCGGCGAGGGAGACTTAATGCGCCTGTGAACGCGCATTAGACCTCCCCATAGGAAAGTATTATTCAGTGCTTTCCTATGGGGATTTCGGCGACGCTGGAGGTCCTCACATAGCGTGAGGACGTCCAGCGTCGCTTAAAACACTTTTCGTGTTCTAAGAAATTGCAATAATAACACTTGCAGGGTTAAGGGTAGTTAATGGAAGTTGGCACCCAGACCACTCCAATGGGCAGAAGTGGTCTGGGTGCCTGGAGTGACCCTTTAAAGTAACAGTTTACACAAAGACAGACTCCATAGTTAGCAGCATATTGGAAAAAGTTTAACACATCTCCAATAAAAGGAAGTAAAATTATACTTACAAGGATAGAGCAGGCTAACTGCTCTATGAACTCAGCGTTGGTGGTATTACTTGGGATTACTTGAAGTATAAAACTTAAAAATGCCTGGAAATGTGCATATAACAAAGATGATTGGCACAAAAAGGTAACCAAAAAATCTTTAATAAGTTAAAATACACAATATTAAATGTCCATAACGCGTTTCACCTTTGCAGGCTTTTTCAAATGGAATAAAAAAACATTCAACCTGGCTATAATGGTGTGTGTGTGTGTATATATAGGGATAACTGTGTTTAAAATTGGAACCAAAATTAGCATTTTCCAATCGAAATTCAACATATTGTAACCATATTAAAAGTACATAAAAGGTATTAAATAACATTCTTTACATAGTATAGAGGCTAAATATAATAAATTATAATGAAAACGAGGGTTAAATCAAGTGGAAATCGCAGTGGAAAATTAGTCACGTCACGCGAAAGTGTCATAGGTCTCAATGCTACATGGGATATGTAGTCTGTGCGAACGGTAACAGGAAGGGTGTGTATTTACTCACTTTGTGCCGGTGATCGGCAGGAAAAAGGATAAATTAGCCGCGAGTATCGTCGGCCATATTGTGGAGGTCTGAAGTGTAATATAGCACTTAAGGGGAGGGTTGGCCGTGAGTATTGGTGGCCATATTGGGTGGGACAAATAGCGGCAGACATATTAGGAAGGTCATAAAGTGGCCAAAAATCGCGATGGCCATATTAAGGAGGTCAATAAAATGAATAGGAGGATAGAGTAGCCTCAAATGACAGCAGCCATATTTAGGCGGGTAGGAGTAGTGGTTACTCTGCTTGGAATATTTCTTTAATAGTGCTCCCTTATGTTTGTACTTTTGCATCTTTATTCTGTTATATGAAAAATACATCTGCATTATGTACCTTCTGTGCAGAATCTGTTGCAAGTCTAAGATGAAAGAAACACAGATAAAACGTATACAGTGTGAATGAATATTTCCTTTTGGTTACAATCTTCTGTTCTTACACTGAAGAATTATTTTATGATTTTTAGATTATTACAGTGCTGCACAATTTATAAATTAAGTAATCAGTGTTGGTTTTGGGAAACAGCATGTTTTGCCTACATTTTAAACAAGGAATGAAAAATTAGCCTTTCAGGTTTATTTACTTAAAGTGAGAATTCAAAGTGATTCTCAGATTTAAGGTCAGAATAGCAGAACCAGTAAATATTTTCTAAAGCAGCTGTGCTTTCTGTTTGGCTACTTTTGGAGAGAGAGAGAGAGTGTTTTTTATTTATTTTTTATTTTTTTTATATATTGAGCACTTTCTCCAGACAAATCCAAGACTGTATTTTCTTTCCGAATTATTCCATGCTATTTGCTTTGTGGGATGGGCGAGATATTTCTGCCACTCCTTTCTGTTTTGTTTTTCAGAAAGGAGTTTACAGCCACTGCCCCATATGTAGTGAATGTATTTTTTATCTTTTATTATTTATTTATTACTGCTATTTATAAAGTGCCAACAGATTCCGCAGTGCTGTAAAATTAGTGGAGAAACGTACAATATACACAGACAAATACAAGAGGTAGAGAGAGCCCTGCCCGTAAGCTGATATCTAGCCATTGGAGCTCTTTTATACAAAGTGCTTGGCTAGATGGCCTGTGAGCTTACAATCTAAAGGACACCATGGGGATTTGAGACAAGAGGTAGCAGGGGAAGTTTGGAGGTGATGGCTGAAAGAGTTAACAGAGAAGCAGCTATTGGTAAGATGTTAGGGGAATGAAGAGGTAATTGGGTGAGAATCTCAAACAGCTGGAGGAGCCTGTTATATATTTAGGGGGAGCCTGGGTGGGTGGGAAGTGGGGAGAATTATGCGTGTGTGTTTTGATTTATTGTTTGTTTGTTTTTTTGGTTACAGGTGAAGCGCTACCTGCTGGGAAGGGGTGACAGTCTTTCTCAGGCATTGCTAGAACCTCTTAACAAGACCCCTGAAACAGATGATCCAGAGCCTCGTGAAGAGTCAGGAGTCGATATGAGCAGGAGCCATACACCCCCAAACTCGGCTGTCAGGAAAAGCTGTAGTGACACAGCCTTGAGTGACATTGTAGGTAGGGATGCTGTAAGTCGGCACGAAGGCAACTACACTCTACATGCTAACAACACAAGGCGTCGTGGCATGTCTATCTTGCGCGAAGTGGATGAGCAATATCATGCTCTGCTGGAGCGATATGAGGAGCTGCTGGCCAAGTGCAGGAGACATGAGGACAATCTGTGTCATGCTGGAGTACAGACCTCCCGTCCCGTGTCTCGGGATAGCTCTAGTCGAGACCTACCAGGTGAGGAGGGAGAGTCTGAGCGAGTACTGACCATGCAACTGGAAGCTGTAGACCGAAGGCTTGAACAGAGTCAACCAGAATACAAGGCACTCTTTAAAGAAATATTTAATCGCATCCAGAGAACCAAGCAAGATGTTAGTGCTGGGAAAGGTCCAGGGGGCAAATAATAAACTAGCAGCTTATTTAACACTATTCTCATCAGGAATTCCATTGACGGTCTCTCGGAATATCATTTTGATAATAAGCAGTAAATGTACAGTCAGTAACACTAAAGGCAAACCTTGTACAATGCCCATCACTAACGCACCCATACTGCATAGATCCGTACACATATTCACTATCTTGCTCACTGCTTTGCATAGATATATGCACTATTACTACAGATGCAGATTATATGTATTATTGGTCTGCAGTGAAAATTGCTAGCTTTTTTCCTCTACTTAGATTATATGCCATAAATATTGGTGGCATATATCATCCAGATGGGCAATTGGGGCCCATCTGTAGGAGCTGTAGACATTGTAAAAGGTTTTACAATAAGGTACTTTTAAAAGGTAGCAGATAAGTATGACAAAGAGAGAAAACCAGAAGCAAGAAACCAAGAATAAATATATTCAAACATACACCAGAAAATATAAAAAATTGAATTTTTACAGGCTATACATTGAAAAAAACTATTAATAAAAAAAAAAGATTGATATAAAAAGGTTTATGTAGCAGTCCTGTCCTGGACCATTCTTAAAGTCAAACTATATATATCTATAGATATATAGATATCTTCAGTTATTTATATACAGGAATTTGTACTGCTAATTATTTGAAACAACATGTCTTTCTGTTCAAGTCAAACTAGTTGAATATATTACATTGCAGAATATAAATGGTCATATCCCCATATTGTGCATGGTATGGGTGTATACAGTGATGTTTATGACTACAAACAGACAGGCAAACAAACACATAGTATTATATATATCTAATGTACAGTTATGGGCGACCGTCTGGTGCAACTATCAGTTGACATATGAAAAGGGGAGTATTCTTGGCTCTGTTCCATACTTCAATCTGAACAGATGAATCTAGGCCTCTGGAACTCATCAATTTCACAAGTTTGAAGTATTTAGAACATTCTGCTGACTTGTTTTGTGCACTTTGTTTTTGCTGCTAATATCTTGATAATTGCCCAGTTGTTACAAACTCTTACGGGCATTCAGAAAACAGTATACTGGAAGAAATTATTTAATTATTAATGATGTCTCACTAATATCAGCATTACAAGAGACTTATATGTAAAACTAAGCACCATCCAATGGAGGATCAGCTGCCAAGTGGAAAAAGTGAGGCAAATGCAGAACAGGAATTAAATATTGTGTGAGGTGAATAGTACACGAACAAAAAATGACATATGTGCAAATCTGTGGTAAAATAAATGACACTACAGTTACTTAATCCATTTCTACCCCGCTGGACCAGACACTGTGATGGCTCTTTTCTACCCTTTTGTGACTCAGCTATACCTGTAAAGGTATTTTTAAACTTGGGCATTCATTTTGTTCTGCTGCATGACCAGCAGTATGCGATAATGTGCAAAGCCATGCTCCACGCATCTTAAATGGCTCCCCTTAAGGGTGCTGATGGAGCCCAAACTCTTATGCAATAAGACGCAAGTGTCTGCAAAAGTGGCCAATCCTTTTTACATGCACATCCTGTACGTGGGTCACCTCATACTAGGGTATTTCAAAAGTCACGATAATTTGTCTCTAGTCATTAACATATCTGCATGTGTACAACAGTGTATCCCAGAAGAATGTCTGAACTTGCAGTTTTTGCAGAACCTTGGGTAAAGGTTGCACCAGCTTCTTATTTAAAGGGTTACTCCAAGCACCATGACCACTTGATTTGAAGTTTTTGTAGTGGCTGGACTACTATGAAATGCTGCACATGTGGAGTTGAACCCCTCTGCTGCTAGAGGTGTAACTCCACCTCCAGAAGCACCGCTGGGGCATAATTCACTCTATTTCCAGGCTGGCTAATATAAAGTCTGTGCATACTCTAGTGCACAGATCATTTTTTTTATTTTATTTGCTGAGAGCGGTCAGCTGTTGTTAACAGCCAATGAATGAGTGTCAGGATCGGCATTTGAATAACGTACAACGGGCTATAGTGGTTATGGTAGTTGGAGTAACCCATTAACAGTATACACTTATCTTGCCTTTTCTCACAGTATGGCACTTGTGCTTTCATACGCAAACACCTTGAGTAATCCGCACTATGCACGCATTCCGGTCTCGTCTTTCAAAGATCTGTTGTTTAGTGAAACTTATGTGTAAAGATTGTTGATCAGTGTTCTAAAATTGGAGCCGTCTGCAGAAGCATTTCATCGGTTTCCATTGTGGTTATCGAACTTTATCCTACAATTCCACTTTCTAAACGCCCTCCAATGATTTCAGCCCTTTTAGGGTTATTCACTAAATTAGTCAAATGGTAAGCATTATCTCGAAGTCGGCTATACTGTCAGCTCAGCTCCTCTAGCCTTCAATTGCCTGTTTATATTGATAAAACTGAGCAATGTTATTGGAATATGCTACCCAAAAGCATTTTAATTTGTTTTTATAATAATGCTCATAGTATGAAACACCTGTGTACTCATTAAATTATACCCAAAGAACAGGCTCTGGATATAGATCAATTATTAAATACATTTCTGTAAGGATTACATCATTCAAATAAAGTGAACTACTACCTAATTATGCATGGTAAAATTACAATGGAGAAGTTGGGTCCGGGTGATTAAGTTAAATTAGGTTTCCTACTGTTAATAATTTTTATCATTCTTATCTCTCTTTACCAAAATGTTAGATTGTTACCTGAGTAAAAGCAATGGGATGTGAATAGCATGTAAAGGGAGCTGTATACAGTATGTTTACGCACTATACAGTAATGTGGTGGGTTGCCAAAATAGTGGCAAAATTAAAAATATATATCTTAACGGAGATTGATATACCGTTTAGCAACTTTGGCATTCATCACAGAATTTCAGTATTAACTCTGCTTTTGTATATTTATTTGTACTGGCCTAATAGTTACATTACAGTGTTAGCTTCAAAGAGACCTTTCTCTTACTGTTGTATTGGTCTAGAAGGGGCAGGTAACTCACACTCCTATTTAAAGTTGTTTTATTCTCATGTTAATAAAACTCCAGAACATTATAAAACTCTGTGTATGTTCTTTTTGTGTATAACATCTAATATAGCCTTTTTAGATATAATAAAAAACATACTTTGCACACAGTAAAAATATTGATTACAATTCTAAATCTGGAAAACACATTATGCAAATGTTATTATATAAATCAAACTATTTGTTATCCAAAGTGATTTACTACAGATGTGGTTGTTTTATTTCATTGTTGAACAAAAAGAGCCCTTAAAGGAGAATTCCAAGCACCATCAACTTTACGGCGGGAGCAGACAGACCATTAACAGAGACGGACGCACGTTGTGGTTGCTTGGAAACTCTCAACTAAAACAACCTGATTTGTGCAGCTGTAACCCGTGGATCAAGACAGTGGGGGGAAAAAAACGGGGAAAAACTGAAAGTGGTTATAGGCAACAGTTCACAAGGTATTGGCTGCTTGTTGCAACAATACCCGAGGCCCAAAATGGTGCCGCAAAGGGAATCCCACACTCACTTCTCTGAAGAGGAGGCCTTACACACGCTAGGTGAGTTGCCAAATGCAGACATTTTACCAACAGTTCCCATGGAGGGTCTCTCAGCTCCAGCGACTTAAGGGGATATCGTTGACATTATGAAGAACATGTATCATAAGTAGAACTATAGGGTTATTCACTAAAGTGAAAATTCTAAAGAAATCGTTAGTGTGTAAACATTTAGGATCACTTGTCAATTGTATGTCTTGTTTTACAGTATCCAAAAATCCTTGAAAGTGTAATGAAACTTGAAATGCCACTAAGAGACCAGTCTGGTGCTTTCCTCTTTTTACTGTAGATGGCAGTAGAGAACACACATAATGAATTGACCGCTGTAGTTGACAGATGGGCAGATTTGTATGTGTACTACTGGTGCCACCTTCCTAAACACCCCAAATTAAATTAGCCAATTTAAATCTACTGATGTCTTAGTGAAAGCCTGCAACTTTAGTAAATACACACCCAGCTTCTCTGCTCAGCAGTCAGAATTTGGAAAATTCAACTCTTTCTAAGGAACTACACAAGCTCTGAATTTCACCCATCTGCCACACAGTCTCCCTCTCCCCAACTCACCCTGCTACACAATCCTCCACCCTAGCTCACCTTGCCACACATTCACCCCCACCCCATCACACCCTGCCACACAGGGTCGCCATCGGGGGGGGGGGATAACCATGACGGTTGTCACGGGCCCGGGCCCCATGTGTAGTGGCAAAACTGCACCGGGGCCTGCACCCTGATACCCCATGTACACTTGAAGAAGCCCCTTCTTTGTCGAAACGTGTTGTGTGTGTTTTAATATTACACACTGCAAGCAGCTCCTGCACACATGATCCCAGACAAAGAGATACACAGACAGAGACATGCATTCAAAACACAGTCATGGATATGCATACACACAGATGCAGAAGGATACTCTGTCAGATCTCAGGCACATACACAAACACACAATGCCAGCCATGCACATATAGGTACCAATACACACTGCGTCATTATGAGTCTCTGTACATCAGTGTTTGTGTGCCTGTATCAGAGTGTTCATGTGTGTGCATGTATTTTTGTGTTAGTTCCCAAAGAGGCAACATCACTACAATCTGAGGGTAATATTGTATAAGTGATGTCATGGTAATGTGGCAGTATATATATGCACAATTTAGAGCTGGGTTCATAGTATGGGATAATGAGCGACACAGACTGCTCTGTACAATGATTCCCGCTGTATACTGAGTGACACACACCGCTTTGTACAATGAATCCCTCTATATACTGAGCGGCACACAGTGCGTGTGCTTAATAAAGTTTTGGCATAATGTGGGCATATTAAAATGGTGGCAAACTGAAATATATGTAGGCAATGTGGCAGGGCCAGATTAAGAACCCAGTGGGCCTGGTGCTGACAATAATGACGGGCCTAATTACAGAATCAAATCGACCAAAAACAGTAAAACACTCCCAAGCATCATGTATCTGATGGAGATGGTGCTGGAGAGATAAAAAACAGCAGCTATAAGAAAACACATACCCTAGGCTAATCTCCCTCTAATTTATGTTTTCATCTTTCAAGTAAATCCGTAACCCCTAACAGCAGTGTCCAGTCAAGCAGGAAGTCAATGGGCGGGGTAAAGGGTATGGCACTGACATAAATCACGTAACCTGCCAAAGGGGGCGAACATGCCCAAAAAGAGGACATGTCTGCCCAAAGAATTAGAAGGCCAGCCTGGCATGAATGCATGTCAGGCTGCCTGCCAATCATGCAGCTGGCCAACTAAGGACAGACAGCACCCTGAGCTTGGCATAAATGCATCTAATAATGCGCTCACTCAACGCTTTCTAAGGACTGTTCCCTAGCACTTGCTGGTGCACTTGTCTCCTTACCGTCTTACTAGCAGGCAGAAGCTCCTGGTATATAGTCTGGGACAGAGAAAAGCTGTATGTAGTGAGTGTAGAAGAAAGGGGACATGCCACAGTGTTAGAGAGACCAAAGTCAGCATTACCTTAAAGGATCACTATAGGATCAGGAACACAAACATGAATTCATGACCCTATAGTGTTAACACCACCATCTAGCCCCCTGGGCCCCTCATGCCTCCATAAATATAGCAAAATCTTACTATATTCAAGCCTGAAGCTGTAACTCTGCATGCTGTTAGACTCATAAAAACAAGCAGTCTGCTGACATCATTAGAAGTGGTGTCCTAATCCAATCACAGTGCTTACCCATAGGATTGGTTGAGACTGACAAAGAGGCAGATCAGGGGCAGAGCCAGCATGATTCAAACACAGCCCTGGCCAATCAGCATCTTCTCATAGAGATGAACTGAATCAATGAATCTCTATGAGGAAAGTTCAGTGTCTGCATGCAGAGGGAGGAGACACTGAATGTTTGGATGCATTTTAGGCAGCCCTGACCCAGGAAGGATCTCTAACAGCCATCTGAGGAGTGGCCAATGAAGTTATCACTAGGCTGTAATGTAAACACTGCTTTTTCTCTGAAAAGACAATGTTTACAGCAAAAAGCCTGAAGGTAATGATTCTACTCACCAGAACAAATTCAATAAGCTGTAGTTGTACTGGTGACTCTAGTGTCCCTTTAACTAAATTCATTGTCAGCCAGTCCACACAAGTTTTGTTCCCATACATCCCTCTTAAGTTTCCATACTTAAGTAAGAGTATGTGAAAAGTAGTTAGGGTTGCCACCTTTCTTGGAAAAACATACCGGCCTTAATAATTTGCATAATTAAATATGTATGGGTGACATCACATGATGACATGGGGACAGTGAGACACTGCCAGACTGGGGGCACTGGGAGACCAGGGACACTGTGTCCGCATGTGTCTGTGTCATAATGTCTCCCAATGTCCCTTAGTGTCTCAGTGTCTGCCATAATGTCTCCCAGTGCCCCTTAGTGTCTCAGTGTCCCCATGTCTCCTTGCAGCCTTTCCCCCCATCCCTTACTTCCCTGAGCTGTAGGCTTTCTCTGCAGGCTGGGAGCTGCTGTCTGGACTCTCTGTAGCTGCACCCCTGCAGAGCAGTGAGTATAGATAGGCAGGGAGGGATATGCTGGAACTTCCTATCCCTGCCTGTCTCCACACACAGCGACCCCTACTGGCCAGTGCTGTTTGCCTAGTAATCTCTTGTTTATACTGAGAAAAAATACCAAAATTTTTATTGCCAGTATCACTGCAATATTGGCACCAGCCAGGCAGCCTCAAATACCGGCTGTGCCAATAAAATAAAAGCCAGGTGGAATCCTTAAGAGTAGTGTGTGAAAAAAAAAAATGTAAAAAAAAAAATGTAAAAAAAAATTTTTTTTTTTTTTTTTTTTTTTTTTAAAATCAATGGGCCTATTCCATGGGTCTGGGCCTGGAGCTGCAGCTCCATCAGCCCCTATGTTAATCCGGCCCTGCAATGTGGCATATGAGCATACTATTATAGCTGCAGTCATATTTGTATTCTATTAAAATGGCAATACAGTTTTATTAGCCATGAGAGAGAGGCCGTGACAATATTAACATGATACAATTACAGGTTCATATTTCCACAAGCATTCAGTGTGCACATACATTTGTAACAGGAAAAAAACTTGCACAACAAAATTTGTTTGCGCACACCAGCTACTAAAAATTAGAGGAAATATTGGACAGGAAAGCGTGCTTGGGGAAATTAAAGGATCACTATAGTGTCAGGAAAATAAACTTGTTTTCATGACACTATATAACCCTTAGGTTCCCCCCCCCCCACCCTCAGGGCCTCCCTCCCTTGGCGCTAAACCCCTTCAGTTACTTACCTTTATCCAGCGCCGGGCTCCCTCTGCGTTAGTGACCTCTACTCCCCCTCCGTCAGCTCCCGAGTGGAGCCGAACGTGCACGCGCGGCAAGAGTCGCACGCAGATTCAAACAGTCCATAGGAAAGCATTTCTCAATGTTTTCCTATGGACGTTCTGCACGCTGAATGCGATTTTCGCATCTAGCGTCGCAAAAGAGCCTCCAGCGGCTGTCAGAAAGACAGCCACTAGAGGCTAAATTAACCCTGCAATTCATTGAGCTAAAGTGGTCTGGGTGACTATAGTGTCACTTTTTAACTTTGCAACACATTCATCAATTAGATAGGTAGCATGATTGCACTGAACTGGCTGTGCAGCATGTACTTGTTTCAGGAGCACATTGTTCATGGATAGAGGAGAGGGGACATAACTAGAAAGGTGGTGATAGGAAATAACATACCTCTCTATTGTTTCCTTTGCACTCCAGCCCCCAAACTTACTAATGCTCCTGGGCTGTAATAGTATAGTTTGAAGAGGTATATGACTTTACCCAGTATACAATTTGTCACTTAAAGGACCACTATAGTGCCACGAAAACATACTCATTTTCCTGGCACTATAGTGCCCTGAGGGTGCCCCCACCATCAGGGTCCCCCTCCCGCTGGGCTGGATGGAGAGGAAGGGGTTAAACTTACCTCTTTCTCCAGCGCCGGGCGGGGAGCTCTCCTCCTCCTCTCCGGCTGAATGCGCATGCGCGGCAGGAGCCACGCGCGCATTCAGCCAGTCCATAGGAAAGCATTCACAATGCTTTCCTATGGATGCTGGCGTCTTTTCACTGTGAAAATCACAGTGAGAAGCGCGGAAGCACCTCTAGCTATCATAACTGCAGTTCAGTCAAGTGGAAGAGATCCTCAGACACCTCAGTCAAGCTTCAGCAACTGGGTTTGGAGCGCGAGGAAGCTGACCTGGTGAGTAAGAGTACAAGAACTCCGTCACATATTGTATATAGTTATATAGGTTAAAGGACCACTATAGTGCCAGGAAAACAAACTAGTTTTCCTGGCACTATAGTGCCCTGAGGGTGCCCCCACCCTCAGGGTCCCACTCCCGCCGGGCTGAATGGAGAGGAAGGGGGTTAAACACTTACCTTTCTCCAGCACCGGGCTCCCTCGGTGCTGGGGACTCTCCTCCTCCTTTGGCTGTCATAGGCTGAATGCACATGCGCGGCAAAAGCCGCGCACGCATTCAGCCAGTCCATAGGAAAGCATTCCTATGGACTCTGGCGTCTTCTCACTGTGAAAAATCACAGTGAGAAGCGCGGAAGCGCCTCTAGCGGCTGTCAATGAGACAGCCGCTAGAGACTGGATTAACCAATAGGTAAACATAGCAGTTTATCTTTTTTTTATAGAAAAAAGGGTTAAACCTAGCTGGACCTGGCACCCAGACCACCTCATTAAGCTGAAGTGGTCTGGGAGCCTATAGTGGTCCTTTAAGTACAGGTATGGCATCACTGGGGAAGTCATGACAAACTATGCTGAATTATTCCTAATTTCCTGGCTTGTCTACTGTATATATCAGTAAACCTTAATATGTGAATATTTTAATATAGTATTTTATGATGAAACTCTTTTTATGTCAGTATGCAGACAGGTGTATACATCTGTTAGGAGCATTAATAGTTGAGCTCACATAGGCAGCCAAGGTGTTTTTAGAGCCTCAATTTCCATGATGAGCAGCCAGTTGGTAGGCACCATGGAAAATGTGCAATGCTGACAGTGCAGTGTCTTGTCTAGTGCTCTGGAATGCGGCAAAAGAAAAGGATGGAACGTCGGAACTAAACCTTCTGCCTTGTTGCTAGTCGGAACCTTGATGTTAGGGGAATGTACTTCCGGAAGTACATAGAATACCAATATGGCGGCGTTGTGCTACTTACCCATGCCAGGTGTTTTTCGGGCTTTACGGTCTTGTGGGTTCCGCTACTCCTCTAATTTCAGAAGTGCTTATAGTCTGGATAAGCTGTATCCTGATACCGAGAGCCGGCTACAGAAGGCGAGTGTGACCCTCACAGAACATGTGTCCTGAAATGTGCCCTTTAACTTACTGAATGGAGAGGTCATGGTGTAATGTTAGATATTATTCTTTCACTGTGACAACAGGAAATCTGATAGAGAATGTGTCTGTTTTATTTCTTTTTTTTTTCATATTACTGTTTCATTTGATGGGTTTTGGAGCTAAGGTATAAATTCTTATTTATTTATTTTTCTCTTAAAGTTGTTCTTTATGCCATATAGCAGGGCACATAAGTGCATATACGGGGCCTGGATAACCAGAGTTGATTCCATTAGAACAATGGAAGAACTGTCTTACTCTTTTTTTTCCCCCTTAAATATGAAGAATATCACACTATCTGGGCACCCTGGCTCAAATTCCTCCAAAAGTAAGAACCAATAGGGTAAATAATTTTGTGATGCCATGTTACCTTCTCACAATCCTGTAAGACATAACTACATTCTTCAACAATGTTTAGGTTCAATTGACGATGTTACACTTCTGATGCCCCATATTGTCATTTGATATCTTTACCAAATGTTGTAAATCTTTAAATTGCTCAATAAAAAAAAAGGTGCATATATCAATAAATCATTATTCAGACCATTATATCCAAATAAGTGGAACATCTACATTAGTATCATGGCGAACTAGGGACAAACTGACGATACTTTGGGGACCCTCCGTTTTGGTTAAACAACTCAACAGACATTGAACTGAGGGATGGTGCCCATAGCCTACTAGTTTAATAACCAATGGCATGTAGTGTTGGTAGTGCTTTTACTGCTGTTACAACTGCCATATAAAGTTGATCTGTCACTTTCGGTGGTCTTTGCATATTTTGCAAAGACCCCTATAGGTGACAGTTCTGATTAGGGTCAGGTGACTATGGGGTGTAGTGGAAGGTAGATTTACTTACCTGAAGCTGTCGCCACCGTCGTCTTCTTGGAAATCTTAATTTGGTTGGAGCTGAGTCAGTGCTGTACTCTTGCGTGAGAGTACAGCACTGAGGTCTATGGAGGGTCCTGTGAGACCAGTGGAGCATCAAGAGATGGCATCTTGTGATGAGCGTGACTATCAATGAAGGCCACAGCCCCACTTATGATGGTTGCTGGGATTGAACAAAAGATGACAGCAAAACTTTGCCTTTTGTCGTATGAATGAGATTCCAATGCAGTCAATCTCAGTATTTCATAAATATTGATATAAAATACTGACTAATGACAGTGTTCTACATCAAAAGAAGTGCAGTTGCCTGTCGACATTTTGTGCCACTTATTTATTTGCATTACATAGATCAGTGGTACTTAAAGGGGCACTCCGTCTAAGAATATGTCACAGCACCAGATGGGTGCGGCCATGCTGGTGTTGGCCTTGGGGCAGAAACTTACCTGGACAGTGGATGCCAGTCTGCCTTCCATGTAGCTCCCGGTCATTATAGCGATCAAATGGATGCCAGCCGTTACGCTACAGAGCTCATTTATAGCTCTGCCTCCTTTAATGACAATATTGACATTTGATGTCACAAGGGCAATTCAGACCAATCCGTGACATACTAGGACTATTTCAACCAATTTTAGATTTACCACTGTGCACTGTCGTAGTTTCATTTACTGGTAATCAGAGAGTGCGATTATTTTGTAATTCTTGTTGGCTACTCTGACCTAGGCTTGTTAGTGACCATGCTCCTTCCTGTTATCCTGAAACTGTTTCTTATCGTACTTATTGTCTCATTCTGTATCCCTTGTCTCAGTAAATTTCATATTTATGTTGAGTTTGACCACTTAAGGCCCGGTAGTACTTATATTTAAATTAACTTGTGTTTTATTGTTTTAAGACACACTGCTTGTTGGGACATAGTATTTTCTGACAGCACCATTAGTACTACAGCCCACGGTTGGGGATATCTGGTGAGGTCCCATGGTAAGCGGTCAAACCATTAATTTATTTCTTTAAATGGTTTGACACTTGCCTGGGTCCCCAGAATGCCAGCAGTCATTTCAGTCTTCTCAGTATCACTGGAGCAGATGTTTTCAGCCCACTTTTTAGCTCTATTGGTTTTGTGCAACTTTTTTGTGACTGGAATTATTTGAAGCTCCCTGATCAGTTACTGACAATTCACAGTTTGAATAATTCTTTGAATGTGTGCCAACTGCTTCAATAGATCTGTAACAAGTTGTCGCTGATTTCTAATCACACAAGTTTGTAAAAAGAGATGTAAGTGTCAGTTTCAGCTTAAAGGAACACTATAATGAAAAGGATAGTTGCGGCGCACTCAGACTACAAAAAATGCAACACAAAGAAGGCTTCTAAACTGCCTATCTAAGAATAAATATGGGGATTTAGTTCCACCATATGATGATAAGCCCACCACTGCTTTCAAAGTACCCCAATGTTGGTGGGTCCTACGCTAAAATGTGGGGGACAAATTAAATAGTACTAGTGTTAAAAATAAAGTGTATTATTAAATCCTTGTAAGAGCAACGTGAGTATACAAAAATAAAGTGATGAAAACAGTGTTAAAACGAAACAATTAACGTGTTAGCGCTAGAATGAGTATACTCACTATTGCAGATGATATGTGTTGAATGGAGAAAATAATAAGTGACCTGACTATTGAAAACTCCTCCTATATATACACACACCTGTGGCCACCTCTAAAGGGGCCTCTGAAGCTGGGGGGCCTGGGCGGGGTGCTTAACCCCAAAGTAATCTGGTCTGAATTCCAAATATACTGTGTACAGAGAAAGGATTGGGGGCCCCCCAGCTTCAGAGAGCCCGGCACTGGATTAAGGTAAGTGGCTGAAGGGGTTTTAACCCCTTCAGCCCAGCGGGAGGGGGACCCTGAGAGTGGGGGCACCCTTAGGGCAATATAGTGTCAGGAAAACCACTTTTTTTTTTTCTTGACGCTATAGTGATCCTTTAAAGTGTCCCTTTTTATCCCCCCATTGGTCCTACATTATCAATGAGTATGATTACTGGAAACAAGACACCAAAGATTCATTATAGTAGTAAGTATGTTGGGGACAACAGGTCTGTCATTGAGATGGCGTTCATCTACACTTTGGTTCAATCTCAATGCAAGTTACAATCTATATATTAAGTAATTGTCATGCTTTGTTTTACAGGAAACAAATCAAGAGAAGCCAGATATTCCTGTTGGTGAGTATACAACTACAGGGTATTCATCTCATATATGTATTTGGAAATTTCACATTGTCTATCAGTGTGGCTGAAATAAACACTGCAATAATAAATGAGTTAAACTAGTGCTCTTTACATGGAGAATTGGCATATAACTGGATAGCTTTATTCTAATTTGACATTGGAATACATTCTGCTATTTTTATTCTTTTCTCCACCCTACAGATCGTCTGAACATCTCGTACAGTAAAAGCAGCGGTCCGGGGGGACAAAATGTTAACAGAGGTAGAGTACAATGTTGCTCTGTGCCATTTTCTACAAATAATAATCACATGTGTCATATTGCTCCAAGAGAGGACTTGTTTGAGTCTTTGGATATTTCACTTTAGTTTAACCACCATCTTGTTTTTCTTTGTGATTCTGACCTCTTTTGTGTTTGAATTATTGCTTTCTTCCTAAATCAATCTTTTCTTGATTTCCTGCTGCATATTTTGTAAAATATTGGAAAAAATGTCTTTGTGGCTTCCCTCTGTTGATGATTATGAGTAAGAAGAAATGTTTTTCGATGTTGTTACTAGGGAATCTGGTTTATAGCTAATACACTCCTTAGAGCTGTATTCAAGCATTGCTCTGGCCCTGGTAATTAGCCATGTGGGAATGAGAGAAACCAAAGCAAACTGTCTCTTTTGGGGACAGTTATGGGAGACTTTTTTTTCATTACTTATGGCTGACGTGGAAAGATTATGGACAATTGTTTGACATTATCGTTACGATTTTCCCCTGCCCTCTGTAAGATTTTGTTTGGTGTTGGGTGGTGAAATATGAGAATGCCCGTGTGCTTTTTGATCACCCAATATCACTAATTTAATTGTTGGCTTCTATTAGCACAATTTTGTTTCTGCTTTCCTTGTATATTGAGTATTAAAAGGACACTCTGACCACCATAAGCACTACAGCCCCCCAGCAGGAAAAGCTAGATAGTTATATAGAGCAGGGCTTGACAAATTTGTTTGGAATATGGGAGCCAGCTAAAAAAGTTAGGAGACAGTCATTTTCAACAAGAAAATGCAATTCTTAAAGGGACACTATATAGTCACCAGATCCACTACAACTTGATGTAGTTGTTTTGGTGTCTATACCTGTCCCTGCAGGCTTTTCGGTATAACAAATATAATATTGCTGCTTAGTAAAATAACTAGTGAGTCACTCAGATTGCCACTATTGCGTCCTGCGTCACTACTGCACCACATGCAGCACCCAGGTTCAGTGTCTCCAAGCTCTGCATAGAGGCGCTGAATGTTCCTCATAGAGATTCATTAATTTAATGCATCTCTATGAGGAGATATGGATTGGCGCATTTGCTGCGCATGCACAAAATCCTCCCAATGCTTTCCTAAGGGAATGTATTGGTTTAGCTGAGATCATAAAGATTGATCATCTCAGCCATGAAGGTGGGACCAGCCGCGGCAAAACTGGCATAGCATGGGGGAAAAAAGATGAGTAAAAACTCCTTTCTCATGAGGTTGGAGGAGGCAGGTACCTAAACGCGCACACACTCTGACAGGCTCGCACGCACTCACTCTGACGGGCTCACACACACTTACATTTTTGTTTTAATTGACCTTTGGGAGGCTGAGTGGGGGCAGGTACATAAACGCACGTGCACACACACTCTGGCATGCTCACACACACTTACATTATTTTAAGTGAACCCCACTCAGTCTCACTACCTTTGGGAGAGCTGAGTGGGTCTTTCCCTGGGGTCCAGTGGGGCTGTTATCTTCCTGCGTGTGAGGGAGCAGTAATCTACCTACAGCTCCCCTCTGCTCCCTTGCGCTCTCTCTGTAATGATGCCAGAGCCAGAGTGATGTCATATTCTGGCTCCTGGCATCCTTGGACAGAGCGAGGGAGCAGAGAGTAGCTACATGCAGAGTACTGCTCCCTCGCATGTTGCCTACAATGCTTCCTCAGCCGGCTGCCTCCATGCTCCTCAGGGCGGCCGGCAGCCTCCATGCTCCCCAGGGCAGCCGGCTCCAATATTCCCTGCGATGGCTGCCTTCAAAGCTCCGGTGGCCACATTAACTAAATAGCTGGCAAATCCCAGGTTCCAGGACAATATTTCCAGTCGTCCTGGCGCCTGGGATTTGTCGAGCCCTGATATAGAGCAAAGCAGGACCATGCTGCTGAATCTCTCGGCCAATGAGCGTTTCTGCATCAGGTATACTTTCTGTACGGAGACATCTGGTGTGACTAATGTAGTGCAGGCAACCACGGGGATTTGGATAAATTGGCAACAATGCTTAAAAAGTTTGGCAAGTTTTTTTTTTTTTTTTTCTAGGTTGGTTGGTTACAAAATATTGCTTTCTTTTTTTTTGTAATGTTTAGTATAACTTGTGCACAGATGCTTTTCAGCAGGGAATTTGATTTATTCGAGGCACCTGAAACACGTTTGTGGAGAAGTCTACTTAAGTATTTGTTTCCTATGACCATAAAGAACTTGCTTTCGAAGGTTGTCAGCAAACCAAAGAAAAAGTTTAATAGGTATTGAAATTAATAAATATGGACATGTAGGATGCACTGTAAGAATAACAAAGATTTAAGTATTCTGCAGTGATTTTGCATTAACAGAATCTTATTAAGGAAGGAAACCTCTAGAAGAATGACTTGAAAGTAATTTGCCTAAGAACCCGTAATGAGAATCTGTAGTGGAAAATAGGGGAACCTGTTTATGATTTTAATTTGAGCTCATTCTATTCCACATATTTGTACACAGCAATAGTTCAGCGATCTGTAACTTTGACATTGTCTGATTACGGCACTTGTAAAATATGTTTGTTGATTCATGTGCACTGACCTACACTGAACACCTGATGGTGTCCCAACCTTGCCTGGTCACTTGTGGTGACTATAAGAAGTTCAATTTAAAAATTTTAAGAAAATGCCATGGATCTTGTTTTTATACTGTTATTGTTGGGCTTCATCAGTGCAGATTTTAGTTTCTTTCTTAGCCTCTTCGCCAACATTTTGCAGTGTGGTTTTCAATTTTCTCTTCAGTGTTTAGTGATGATGGTGGGGGAGCGGCTTGGTGTTGAATTAACCTTTCTGTATCCTCACACAGTTAATACCAAAGCTGAAGTGCGGTTCCACTTAGCTTCTGCAGACTGGATCTCTGAAGATGTCAGGCAGAAGATCTCTGTACAGGTAACGTTCATTAACTGACATTTTGTGGCGTGACCGCAGAATATCCATGAATTGCCCCTTTCATGTTTGTGGATGTACCCTCCTGAAATGCGTGTTTCCCCATGTATTTGTCAGGATTAACTTTGTAATCTGCCTTTCAACCATGCGGGGGACAACCCCGGTGCCTCGTTAGAATGTTCACACCCATTAATCAGAACGTTCACACTGGCAACATAGGTGTGAAACTGCAAGGGAAGTAATTAACGATCGCTCCCCGGGGTAGCTGCCAGGGTGTGCCTTTCCCAAGGTGGCTGCCAGGGGGAGTGTTCTTATCCTGAAGTGGGACGCTTTCCCTAACTTCCCTTGAGGGGACTTCTGAGGTTAATGGGGATATTGTATGGGGTACCGGGGGCCCATGTTGTTGCGGGGCAATACATACCATGTACCCTACTTATGTGTGTATGCTTCCTCTTTGTATTCTGTCACACTCCTCTCCCCCCCCCACCCCATGTCTTTGACTGCATTTCGTGTGTTTCACTTGCGCCCTGTTCGGGAGCGCTCTTACAAACGGAACCAGTTCGTCTCCTGAATGGGGGCCACCCTGACACTCCATGTAGAATGCTAGTATAGAACGTTCACACCTCGTAATGAGGTGTGAAAACCACAAGGGAAATTAGCGGCGCTTGCTACCCCTGGGTGGCCGCTGGCTCGTATAACCGACCGCCAACCAGGGAAAGCATTTGTTTCCCGAACAGCCCAGGCCGCACGGTTTCAGGTCCCTGACCAAGGGATCACCCTACCTGCTCCTAATGGAGCTATAATCACCATTTCCCCTACCCGGGAGCTACGAGGCCAGGTTCGGGGTGCCCAAGGGCGCTCTGCCCAGGGCTGCCTAAGTGGAGGAAGCCGCCGTAGAGAGGCATGAGCCTTAGCGGAATACCTGGAGCTGTGAGGCGGGGATCCCGCTGGCCGCCTGGAAGTCCGTGCCGACCAATGGGAGGAGCGCCCCTTCATACTGGGTTTGCGCGTTCTCCTGGTTGGCCGGCAGCACGGATGAAGCGCTGATTGGTCGTCTGTATCTCCGGGCGACCAATCAGAGGACCCGTTTAAACAGGGTTTCACACCCTTCTGATTGGGCGGTGAAACCCCTCTCCTCCACTAGCACCGATTTGGTGCAACCCCTCTCCTCCACGAGCACTGATTTGTGCGCCCTTTCTCCTGATTGGTTGTTTCGTGGTTTAGGCGCAAAATTTTAATTCGCCGGATTAAATAAAGAAACTTCATGGAACTGATTTCAGGGATTTTACAGAGCTTCATGCCCCAGACTTTAGATGATGATTTGTCGGGCTCTGTACATCCGACAGCCCCACTATTTGCAGGAATCCCAGATGGTATCCAGGGCTGTCTAGAGATGTAAGTTTTTTTATCTGTGTGGCCCCTGCCCTTCCTGGGGCACCGAGCCCCAAAGGTTTACTCCCCCCCTTTTTTTATGTAATACAGTTAATGTGTATCCCTGTGTACTGTTGGCATCTCTCACAGCAGGAGATGGCTATCTGTAACCCAACCCTCCTGCTTGGGATTGTGTTGTACTGATTGGGTCTGGGCATAAAAGCTGTGTGTTCTGAATATAGATTGTCAGAGTTTGTATCCCCAGGACTGTGTGTCGTCTGGTTACTGGGAGGGAGATGGGTCGTTTTATATCTTAAACACCTCCATTCCAGATGAAGGAAAAGGCTAAGCAGCGGTAACCAGTCAGGTTGTCCCGGGGCCCGCTACACTTTTCTGTATCCATTGCTATTTTCTTCATGATAATCGACTTTCCTCGTCCGCCAGACACATCTTTTGTGACTGTCTACTCATTTCACCAATCACCTTCTTTATGCTTGTATTTCTAGTGCTTGCGGATCTCCCTTTAAATTTCAGTCACCTTTTTGTTCTTCTTGATCCCACCTTTTTTTTTTTTTTCTATTACCTACTATTCTCCTTAACATTTTTCCCACTTGCCGTTTTACTGTGTCTTTCTTAATTTCTGAACTCTTATACCTGATGTTATCTTTCTTTCCTGTAGCATAAAAATCGCATAAATAGAAATGGGGAATTTATTATAGTTTCTGAGGTGAGCCGTTACCAAATGCGTAACCTGGCAGACTGTCTTGAGAAAATCCGTGATATCATCTCTGATGCTAGCAAAAAGCCAAAACCTCTGACCACCGAGGATGTTGAGCTTCGCAGGATGAGGTACTGTTACAGAAAATGATAAAATGTTTTCCTAATGTCTTTGAAATCATTATATGGAAGGAGGACCGTAATTTGCTCTGTGTGTGTTTTGTAACCATCACAAATGTATCCAATGTAGACGACAACTTACCCGGGTTGCCAGTTGCTGCTGCCTCCTGCGGCCTGTGAGCTTATTGCGCTGATACTGCTGGCAGTAAAGGGAGTTTATTCCACAAGAGTGGAGCTGGCAACATTTTGACACAATCACATGGTTTTTGTCAAGCCTAAGCTCACAACCCACCACAACCATTTTAAATAGATTCATTATTTATTTAAAAGAACAAACCTGGTGTGCAAGGTAATGGGGAATTTTGCCCATTAGTTACATTTAACAAGCTTAAGGTGAAACTTCTTAATTGTTAGTCCTGGTGTTGTTGTTTCATCATTTATTTTTTTTACTCTTGGGGGTTCACGGAAGTTGACCTCGGAAACCTACACCCATTTATACATGGGCCAGTGGTGCTTGTCTTCCTCTACCTCTGTTTTTGTGTCAGTACAGGAAGGCATTTATTGGCTAGAGTGCTCAGCTGATGCTCTAAACCATTGAACCAATCCTGCATGACAGGACTTAACATAGGGGAGCTAATGGAACCTTCTTGCAGTAGCTTCTGGGCTGCAGGGGAGAATATAACCGGCACACAACAGAGCCAAGGTATCTTCTCAAATGTCTATAAACGCAGCGAACTAGGGCACAGTGCTTTGTAGTGGTTATGGTGCTTGTACTGTCCATTTTAATGGTTACACTAGTTCCCAAACTTTTTAGGTTCAAGACGCCCTTAATATTTCCAAATTTTTTACCAAGGTACCCCAAGTCAAAATTTACTGGTGTTATAGTGTTGGTGTTTGAAGGGGTGCTTGTATATAGTTTTAGTGTTTTAATACAGGGCTGTGTTTGTATGTAATGTTCACTTTTAAATGCGTATGTACATTTGTACAAAGTATTTGTGTTTTGAGTGAAGGGGTGTTTTTATATATCATTTCGGAGTTTCAATGCTGGGGTGTGTTTATATGTAATATTTGTGTTAGATTGCAGGGTGTGTTTGTATGTTGTGCTGGTGTTTGACTGCTTGGATGTATATGCATATACATTACCACATACTTATACACATACATGCACATTAACACACAGGTACATTTAAATACTTAAACACACACACAAATTCATATCTGCACTGACACACAGATCCAACCGCACACTGTGACATAAAAACACACCCTGACATGCAGATGCATATCCCGACACACAGATTTGTGCGCACACAGATTCACACTGATAAATGGATATATACACATACTCACACAATCTGACATAAACACATAAGTGATATTTTTTTTTTTATTTTTTTTTTTATATCTGTAGCCACTCTCCTGTTAGCTTACCTTGTGTCCAGGTGGGTGGCTTGATTGAATGCCTGGAACTGCTGGTGGATGTGAGGGGCTCTTCGCGCTCCTCTCCCTGCACAAAGCTGGGAGGAAGTGTGAGGCTGTCACTTCTTCCCAGCCTGCTGACACTACAGGGGCTCGGTTCCGGCACTTGACAGGGCCCCTGTTTAGCAGAAATGTTTGGCGGCGCCCCTGTGTGCCTGTCTGGGGCGCCGCACCACACAATTTGGGAACCGCTGGGTTACACGATGCATAGTTATTTTTATTTATTTTTATACCAAAATAAGGCAAATGTCTATCATGACAAACAAAACCTACTTCTTTTTTTTTTTGAATGTTTAACTGTAATTTCCTTTTTTAATTACCGTAAGTGCTTATTTCTCTGTAAACAAAATTGTCTTGTCTTTTTACAGAGTGGAACTTATGAACAGAGAGCGTCTACAACAGAAGAAGATTAATTCTACTATTAAACATAGTCGGAAAGTACACCTAGACTGAGTATTGCTTAAGCCAGCATGGATCTGGAGTCACCTTGAAAGGCAGATTTAAACGGCCAGTGCCATGGATATTAAAAGAAGCTTATGACGTTTAAAGAACTGAACATTATTGGGGGTGTCTTACATTGGATTTCTTTTCCAGCAGAAGCCATGTTTTTTCATTTTATATAAGAGACAATGCGAATTATTGTTTTTGCAAGTGTACGCATTTAATTTAATAAACCTATTCAATGTACACAGTTTGTGGGTCAGTGCTGAATCTGCATGTGACGGTATAGATAGAGAAAACTTTATATATTTAATTCTCTTACATTAATACATAGTTGCCTATAACAGGTCTATACACTAAAGTAAGAAGTGTCAGAAATTCACAGCGAAATTTTTACTTTAAACCAAAAGAGCTGAATTGGAAAAGTTCTCCTTGTCAGCAATGCTTTCAGTCCAGCTTTTTTGACCTTAAATGTTAAAACTTGGTTCAAAAGAAAAGATAAGGGCACTCCAAAGGTTCAATTTCAGGCAATTTATTGTCACCAGAATGTGCAAAACAACGTTTCGACCAGTGTGGTCAAGCTTCATAAAGACCACACTGGTTGAAACGTTGTTTTGCACATTCTGGTGACCATAAATTGCCTGAAATTGAACCTTTGGAGTGCCCTTATCCTTTCTTTTGAAGTATTACATTTTGGGATTTGGTGCTGAACCCGGATCTGGTTGCTTAAGGCAGTCATGGGCCTAGCTGGTGATTTACAGCCATGAGCCGGTTTACACTTTTATCAGATCACCCTACCTGGCACAATGATTTCAGTGACCTTTTATTTCTTTATTTTTGTATTTGTTCTGGGGCCTCATGGTATGAAAGCCCCTCTTAGTTGCTTAAATTTTTTTTATTCCCCCTAATCCTAACATCACTAAGCCACAAGCTGCAGTCATCATACACTTTGATATTAAAGCAAGGTCTCCGTTAATAAATCTGGGGGTCACTAGCCAAGATGCTTTCAATGGGAGCCACAGATCTGTATTGCCTGATGCACGCCTACACATGACTAATCTGTTTGACACAGATACACATTCCCACACAAAACGATAGTTACATAATTCATACACAAAACTACACACTCACATAAACCTGTATACTGTAAACCCCACCCTTAAGCAGTTGTAGCATGACCAAGGCTGCTTGTGTGTGCTAGAGCCAGCCTCATCACTGAAGTTCTGCCACCTGACTGCTGAATACCATAACTTTACTAATTATGCTCTCAGGAGCACACAGCATGGGAAACATTGCTCCTTAGCTGATCAGCCTCCTATCAAAAGCAAATGTGCAATTGGGACATTGTGGACCATGCCAACAGCGACTGCAGGCCTGGTCGTAGTTTAGTATACCCAGGACCAGAGCTGTCATCAGAAATTTTGAAAGCCCTTACACAGCTTAACGCCTGGCCCTTCCCACAAGGTCTGCCCCAGAGCCCACCCACAAGGATGCTCAGACCCCTACTGACTGCAGCCCTGCCCATAACTTGAGCCTACCTCTCTTTTAAAGTATTTAGGCCAGCCAGTACTTTGAGATCCGTGTTAAAGGAACATTCTGGGCACTGACAACTTTAGTGTATTTGAGTATGTTTACTTTAGGGTTAATCCAGCCTCTAGTGGCTGTCTCATTGACAGCCGCTAGAGGCGCTTCCCACTATGGCCTGGCTGAATGTGTGCGTGGCTTTTGCTGCGCATGCGCATTCAGCCGATGATGGCCAAAGGAGGAAGAGAGTCCCCAGCGCTGGAGAAAGGTAAGTGTTTAACCCCCTTCCTCTCCGTTCAGCCCGGCGGGAGTGGGACCCTGAGGGTGGGGGCACCCTCAGGGTACTATAGTGCCAGGAAAACGAGTTTGTTTTCCTGGCACTATAGTGGCCCTTTAACCTATATAACTATATACAATATGTGACGGAGTTCTTGTACTCTTACTCACCAGGTCAGCTTCCTCACGCTCCAAACCCAGTTGCTGAAGCTTGTCTGAGGATCTCTTCCACTTGACTGAACTGCAGTTATGATAGCTCAGGAGACCTTATCTCCTGTAAAGCAGAGATTATAGCTCCCCCCCACTCATTAGAGGAGTCTAAATGCAGGGGTTTAAATGACTTTTGTTGTACAGAATACAGCTGTTCATATATAGCATTGTTGACATTCCCCAAAGGGGGTTCGCCATACAATGAAATGGATAAAACAATTGTACTTCCCAAGTGCCACTCTGGGGACAGAGTTTTTCTAGCCAGCTAACGCAATCGACTCCCAGTTGTTCCCTAACAGTCGTAGAGGCAAAGCACACAAATATCTGCCAGAACACTGTTTTTCTGGGCCTTATCCCCACACAATATATATCCCAAAAAAGCTTGTCACCAAGCACCCTCCCTGTCCACTTAGCGCCATGATCAGAGAATTAGGGCGCGAGTTACAGTGTGTTCTACCAGGTTGTGACTATAATTCTGATCTGGTGAGGAGTTCCAATTGTATGGTGCATTAGTCCCGATCTCTAAAATGGGTTTCCCGGACCTCTAGGGTCCTCAGGTGCCTCCTTGCCTTCCTGGCGTCCCCTCCAAACAGCGTTCTATTTGTAGGTCAGGGACGGAGCGATACCCAGTTAAAGATTGACCGGAGCTCAGCACAGTTCTGATCCTAGAAACTGTTTCAGAGTGTTTCATTGTGTCTCCCTGTGAGGCTCTTGAGATGTATGCATGCCTGGATAAAGCTGTCCAGGGTCCATACCTCTGTGGTAGGTGTGAGCGAGTGGCTTTTCTGGAAGCTCAGATTGGAGATCTAGAGAGGAAAATTGCAACACTGGGGGAGATTGACAATCTTGAGAGGAGTCTGCTGCTCACTGAGCAGAGTTTAGTGGGTGCAGGTAGTGGAGTGGGAGGAGATGAGACAGTTGGAAAGCAGGCACATAGCTGGGTAACAGTGGGGCGAGGGAGCAGAGGGGGAGGGAAGAGGAAAGGTTTAGCTAGTCCTGATCTTGTGCAGCCCAACAGATTTACCCGTTTGAGTGAAGATGTTGGGAGCATCAGTTCTGGAGTAGCTGTACTGCAGGAAGCTGTTCCTTCTAACAGCGATGGGAACAGCACCTCTAGTACGGGTGGGGTTGAGAGGGTAAGGAAGTCTAGACAGGTTGTGGTGGTAGGGGACTCTATTATTAAGAGAGTAGATAGGGTAATCTGCCACTCTGATCGACTCAACCGGACAGTTTGCTGTCTCCCGGGTGCTCGGGTCCGGCATGTTGCTGACAGAGTGGAGAGATTATTGGGAGGGGCTGGGGATGACCCAGCTGTCATGGTCCATATTGGTACCAATGACAAAGTCAGAGGAAAATGGAAGGTTCTAAAGAGTGAGTTCAGAGATCTAGGAAGTAAGCTAAAGCACAGGACTTCCAAGGTAATGTTTTCAAAAATATTACCTGTGCCGCGCGCTACAGCAGAAAGGCAGCGGGAGATTAGAGAGGTCAATGCGTGGCTGGGTTTTTAGAGCACTGGGACGATTTTGCGCTTGGGTACAACCTGTATAGTCGTAATGGATTGCAACTAAATGGAAGAGGGTCTGCTGTGCTGGGGGATAGGATGGCTAGAAGGTTGGAGGTGATTTTAAACTAGTAGTAGGGCCTGGAGTGTCAAAGCAATCTAGAAAATAGAGATAGGATAGAAAGGAGATGGGCTTTAGCTCAGAACAAAGGGGGTGGAGATGGGGGGAGGGGAAAGCTCAGAACAGAGGAGGTATGTAATATTGATAATTCACAAAAAGTACAAATGACTCATGGTAATATTAAATTTATGCTTACTAATGCATATATAACAAAATGGGGGAACTCGAGGCAATAGCATACACTAAACAATATGATATAATAGGCATAACAGAAACATGGTGGGATGAGACACATGACTGGGCAGTTAACTTAAATGGGTACACGTTATTTAGGAAGGATATGAAAAACAAGAAGGGTGGTGGGGTATGTTTGTATGTCAACCATGAGTTAAAGTCAAATCTTAGGCATGTGGAGTGTGATGAGGAAAATGTGGAGGCCTTATGGGTAGATATCTGCTTGGGATATGCTATAAACCACCTAATGTAAATATTAATGAGGAAGAACAGCTGTTTGAGCAAATTGGGAAAGCTGCAAATCGGGGTAAAACGTTAATTATTGGAGATTTTAATTACCCGGACATAAATTGGGATAGAGGGACTAGTACTTCAGCAAGGGGAATCAGGTTTTTGAATGTGTTAACTGACATCTTTATGTCACAACTGGTACAAGCACCAACTAGAAAGGATGCTTGTCTGGATCTCGTTATAACAAACAATGTTGATCTTTTAACCAACATTCAACTAGGGGAGCATTTGGGAAATAGTGATCACAATATGGTAAATTTTGAAATAAACTCAAAAAAGCAAAAGCAAGTGGGGTATACTAAAACATATAATTTTAAAAAAGCCAATTTCAATAAGGTTAGGGCAGCTCTACAACATATCGACTGGCATAAAATCCTTAGTGATAAAAACACTGAGGATAAATGGAAACTATTCAAACAAATATTAGAAAGGTACATTTCTCAGTATGTACCATTGGGTAATAAATATAAAAGAAACAAATTAAAACCAATGTGGCTTAGTAGAGAAGTAAAACAAGAGGTAAAAAATAAGAAAAGGTAATTTAAAGCATTTTTAAATCGGGCAAATCAGAGGCATCCTATAGAAGATATAAGGAAGCCAATAACGCTTGCAAAGCAATTAAAGTGGCTGAACTAGAAAATGAGACATTGATAGCCAAAGAATGCAAACCCAACTCCAAATTTTTTTTCAAGTACATCAATTCTAAAAAAACAAAAAATGAAAGTGTAGGTACACTGGAAACAGAGATGGGTCTGTTAGCTAATGAAGACTGGGAAAAAGCAGAAATTTGAAATAACTATTTTTCTTTAGTATATATTAATGAGGATCCTATGGCAAGTGATATGCAAATGATTG